TATATATATATATATATATATATATATATGAAAATTGTAAACACATAAAAATTCTTTGTTATGTATGTAAATTTGCTGTCATGAGTTCATCGACTTTTCAGTCTGGATGAGAGAGTCCTCGCAGCAGTAATTGCTGCCATTCTTAATCCGGCCTTTGAAGGTTTCGAATTCGGCGACGTTTTATCTTATTGCTTCGGTAGGATTTCCTGTCTACCATTTCAATAAATCGGTATATTTTCTTAATGAACTCTGTATTTTCCGATTTATTTGTCTTTTTTTTTTCATTTCTGCTTACCCAGAAGAATCTGAAGAGGGATTTGGAAGGGTTATCGAGCTCCATTTGGCATTTTTTTGAGCATTCTGGTCATCTAAGAAGCGAGAGAATCGTTGGTAGGGTTTCAGTAATTGCATTGGTTGATTATGATGATTAACTGAGCATGTATCTGTACGTGTTTGTATTATTATGGTGATATTGTTGTTTGTGATTCGAACAAGTTCGGCTTCCCAGAAGTTGAGTTTCTAAAACTGGACTAGAAAAGCGACTTCTGAGACTGAAAACTCTATAGGCACTCTTTGGTTTCAAGATATTATAAGATTGGGAGTGAAAGGGAAACGTTAGCGGGAATTGTAAGAATTGAATTAAAAGTTGGTTTCCCTCACTTATTTGATTCATGTAAACTTTATCGATTGTTTTTTTTTTTTCTTGGCTTTCTTGTTTGGTCAATTAGAAAGAAAAAAAATTGCGTTGGGATTTGTTGGCTAAATTTTTTGTTAAGATCTGTTTCAAAGTCATTATTAGATCTGCAATGTTATAAGTGCAATACAAGTTTTGATTATTCATATATTGCATCCATCTCCAAGCAAATCCAATAGTTTTGAGAACCATCTCAATCCCAAGGTTTTCAAAGTAGAAATTGAGTTTTTTGTTTCTTGTATGGAGATGTTTCAATCACAATGATGATGTAATAGAATTTGTCCTTAAAATTTTTCTCAAAGATTGATAAGAAATTGTTGATAAAAATATGCATTTGTTCGCATTTCCTTGCCAAATTTTATATACTTTGAAGTAAAATATATTTGAATTCGCCCTAATATGTTAACACTAAATAGGCCTATAAGGAATTTCTCTTTTTTTTGGAAAAAAATAAATTTTATTAATATATAAAATGTTGCAAAAGTGGGCAGTAGATCCCAACTAAACCCAAACTACAACACATACAAAATAAAATCTACGGGGTTACACCATCATGTTGTAAAATGAACTTGCAAGCACGGATTACCTCTTTGTAATCCCAAATATGGCAAAAGCAGCCATGCACATGATAAAATTGATTTCATTCAAGAGAAAGATCTTCATGCAGAATCATTTGAGAAGATGATGACTTATTCGATAAATCTATATAAAGGATAAAAATGAATCTCTGTAGAAGAACTCGTTAAGGGAATCTATTTCCTTGAATTTGTTAAGGGAATTCATCCCTAGGAGCTTATCAAGGAAATTTGTCCCTTGGAACTCATCAGGGGAATCCATCTCCTAGAATTTGTAAACGGAACTCATCCTTACATCATCCTCACAAAAAACTTGCCTACACTGAGAATTTATTCTCATTTGGAACTCATCCTTACATAGATCTCATCTTTACTGGGATCACATCCTAAGAAAGAACTTATCCTTACTGTGAACACATTATCACATAGAGCTCATTCTTACTTAAAGCTTGACCTTATTGGGAATTTATTCTCATTTAGAACATGTTCTCTAGAGGGGCCCATCTTCATGCAGAACTCATTCTCACACAAATCATTCTCATTGAGAACTTCTCATATAGAACTTGTTTTAATTGGGAACTCATCCTCACTTGGTCAACTTTTGGCTAACCAAAATTTTCGACCTCACAACAAACTTTATCAAGCCTTGCTTTATCATTTTATTTGCATTAGTCAATTGTCGCAACTCCATTAGTGCTGTACGAGGCCAAAGAATGAACTTCAGAGATTCAATAATATTTAGTGATGTTCTAGTTTTTAACATAGGCCAGATCCTGTTGTACTTTTCGATAGCAATCTAGTAGAGATTCTCAGAGCTTCTAGAGTGCTCTCCTTCTCTCTCATCCCTCTATGTTAAGCTTCTTCAACACTCATAGTAATGTTTTGGCGTTGCCATGTGCAAAGTTAGGTCCAACAGATTTTATCTGAATTATTTTCAATTTACCATTATTTTGCAACTAACAAAGAAGTCTCAACTCTGAACAAGTTAATTTATATTGAAGCTGCTTCGAAGCAGAATAGATTGGAATTAAAGACCAGTCGTACATTACATACAACTACTTCCTGAGCTGAAGTGGGTTTTCCACTTCCACACCTTGCCTAACAGCTGGAATTGTGCAACTTTTACTCTACCATATCTCTTTCTTGATTCAATTTATCATTCTTAAACCAATCCATGTTTGCATATTCGCTTTTTTAATTTATTGGAAAATTGAACCATATATGGATGTCACTTCCTTTAGACTTCTTTTTATTTAATCTTCCTAACGTTGACTTCCTATGCTTTTACTTCTTTGTCTTTGTCGGTCAGACTACATCCTTAATCTTCTTCTGTAATGGCTTAAATATGCTTCCATTGTTGTAATTCATAACAGAACACAGAAACAGAAAACCCTTGAGCATATCACTTACCAACAGCCTCTACCTTAGCATAACAAACCTGTACTATATAGAGTAATGAACAGGGATCTGAATACTGAAATCAGGGTAATGAGGAAGATGCTGAATTAAGACTAATTGGCGGCTCAATAGTGATATACAATAGGTGTATATATAGTTGAGTTCATAACAGAATTTGTTATGATGGTGCAGGTTTGCTATGCTGAGGTAGAGGGTGTAGGTAAGTGAACTGCTGAAAGGATTTTATGTTTCTATGTTCTGTTATAAGTAAATAAGGGTTGTATGTTGCAAGTTTTTATCCTGCTGATTCATATTTGTTGTTTTTTAATTTGTATTTTTATGTGCAAATTGACTAAAAAAATTGTATAAATTTTCGCAGGACACGGGAGAAAAAAATTGTCAAATCATCCCCCATTGGCAAAAGTAATGACAATAAAGTTTTATCCTCGATTTTAAACTTTGAAAGCAAGAAGAGGTAATCAGTAAAAAAAACTTATCCTATGGAGTGTCAGAGAAGCATGGAGATCAATGAAATGCTTGTAAGTGAGTCTTCAACTACATTTGGGAGGCAAAGCACAGCCAAGGATGAGGAGCTTTTGAATAAATCTTCACCATCAAAAAGAAATGCGGTTCTTCATGTAGAAGGTTATCCGGTTGAGGGCTTGTCAATTGGAGGCCAAGAGACGTGTGTCATTTTCCCCTCACTAAGAATAGCATTTGATATTGGTAGATGTCCTCAAAGGTCTATCTCTCAGGACTATCTCTTCATATCTCATGGCCACTTGGACCACATTGTAAGCATATATTATGCAGGATCATAGCTCATAAATTGATTTTTGTTAACTACAAGTTAATGCATCATAAGGTTAATTATAATGCTAATCCGAATAGAAATTTGCATACAATATTTTATTTAATTCAATAGTTTTTTCATTGTTCAATTTGCATATGTTTTCAATGACTTGACTTCTTTACTAAATTATTTCATCAAAATTTAGTTAAGGTTTTTATTTTTAGGGTTTATAGAACTTATAGCACTGTTGTAGGGCCCTTTTGTTCAGTATTTGTACTTGTTAGATGATTCTCTGATATTATGTTCAAGAGTACATAAATACCTAGAGGAAGTCTTTTGTTGTTTTTTTTACCACTCTGTTTGTGTCTGCTATTCTCCGATATATTGTTGCAGATTCTGTGGAAGCCATTTATCCCATCCTATGCAAATTTTCCAATCCATGGACTTTTCCTTTGTCTTACTATTCGTTTTGGGAACTATGTGCATGCCTTACCTAGATTACCTCTCTAATGTTTTGCCCTTTTGGTGAAAACTATGCCTTGTCGAGCTTATAACATGCTATTTGTTACCACTTTCTTGCCAACCAGTTTAACATCTCTTGGTTAATTCAACTCCATCTTTTGCCTTGCTGTATAGTTTAAGTCTATTGTTGACTATGGATCCACAATTATCATCCATGCTTTATTTAAGCCTTCATCTTTCCCCATTGCCTTTGCATATCCCATACCGAAATTTCCAACCGGCATAAAGCTTACTGAGAAAAGAAATGTGCGAAAGAAGTTTTAGTAATAATACATTGTTACTTATTTTGCTTTTAAGAAAGATTTTTAACATGCCTTGCATTTTCGTGGTTTAGTAATCAAAGGTTGAATTATTTTTAATGATGAATATATCGTGATTTTAACAAACATATTGCTTTCTTTCTTTTTCTTAAAATTGGCATAATCACAAGCCATCCATCAACTTTTTAGCTTATTTCTCTGTTGTTCACAACATAGTTTACCATTAAACAATTTGAGGCTTGCCTTAGAATGCGCCTCAAGCGAGGAAATGCAAAGCACCTTATACTTACATCTTAGTGGGAGAAAGAGGCTTACACCTCAATTATTTGAGGTCCTCCTAGGAGTGTATGAATGTGGTGCACACCTCTATTATAAGGTTTGGAAGGTATTGGACCCTTTTTATGTAAGATAAAGGGGCATAGAAAACAATCAACTATGATTATAATTTCAATTAAGATCCTCTAAGTGATGGAAGTGGGAGATGTTTTTGAATTCGGAGCCTGAAGCCACACTTAGTTTATTTAATAAAATGTCTACTAGTTTATTTTAGACTTAGGGTCCGTTTGGGGCAGCTTATAAGTGCGGTCGTACCGTTTGGTTCGCGCGTTTCGCCAGCTTATCCGAAATTGCGTTTGGGTTTTTACACTAAACGCAGGCCGCGGCCCGCGGGCCGCGTTTCAGGATAAGCAGCTTATCCTAAAACGCACAAGCTGCCCCAAACAGACCCTTAATGTTTAGGCTTACTTGTTTATCATCAACTTCTTTCTTGTTATTGGTGTTTGTATGACTTTTTATTATGTCACTTTGATGTACTCTAAATAGTTTATTGGAAGAAATCAAACTTTTACAAAATATTGTGCTCTAAAAAGGATTACTCTCATATGTCTTTTTTTAAAAAATACTTAATAAATTTAATGGTTTAATTTTCCAGCTTATGTCCCACCCCATAAAAAAATATCTCAATTTCCAGTTGTGAAATTTTAAACCATGGCCCATTATGTTGGAGCCAACACAATTTTCTTGAGAGTCATTAATAAGAATAGAGTTGGCATTGAGTTAGGTTTGAGCAAGTTAGGCTTCACTCGAACCAAAATATTTGACTTCAATCTAATTCAAAGTGGACTCAAACTCAAATTGGAATTTTGGTTGACCTAGCCTGACTCAAAATATATATTGAAATTGGTGTTTGATTTGGTTTAAAATAAGTATATCTACAAGTTCATTCCAATTATTTTTTGTGCCAGACACCCTCAGCTTGATATTGGCTTAAAATTTTTGCCAATCAAGAATTTGACTCATGAGTCTAATCGAACGACTCAAGATGATTTTGAATCGAGTCAAATTATGAGTAAGTTTCAAATGTTGACTAATGTTACAGTCCCTCACTAAGAAAAATAAATTTGAACGGAAAACCACAAATAATGTATGGCTGTGGTTACTCATGCAAGTGCTTGTTAAATCATGTTGGATTTACACTAATAATTTTTTGAGAGTTGGATGAACTTCCTTGAATTTTATGAGGATGTAAGTCCCTGCCCATGCATTGTGGATAGGGTTCGGTAGTGAGGGCAGTTGCCCATTTATCACTTGATTATAGGGATGCCACAAACTTTGTAGTTCATTGGTATGCCCATGCGCATTAAAGTTTGAATAAAATGCCTTTTTTTTTGTCAGTGCTGCTCAAAGTATAATACTATATATATTTTTTTAATTTTCTTTTTATCGAAGTATAATATTGTTCGCAACAGGGAGGCCTTCCCATGTATGTTGCCACTCGAGGCCTTTATCGTATGAAGCCACCAACTATTTTTGTTCCAGCTTCTATCAAGGAAACTATTGAAGGGTTATTTGATTTGCACAGGGCAATGGATCAATCTGAATTGAAGCATAATCTTATAGGCATGAATGTGGGTAAGTTCATGTCTTCTTTAACGTTTTAAAGGTATTTGATGATTAAGGATATCATCTTCATTATATTTTGAGGATCAAAGGTTTTTTTCCTTAATTGTCATCAATTTACTGGAGCTGAGCAGACAAATGAAAGTTCTTTAGAAACTTCTAATTACAGGAGATGAGTATCAGCTAAGGAGGGATCTTAAAGTGAAAGCATTTAGGACTTACCATGTGATACCTAGCCAGGTACAGCCAGTTCAAACTTAAAACTTCTGACCATCTCTAATAAAATTGGGATTCATATTTTACAGCTATTTTTTCTCAATACATTTTGTCTTCTTCAAACATATGCAGGGTTATATTATTTATTCTATTAAACAGAAACTTAAGCCGGAATATATTACTCTTTCAGGACATGAAATCAAGCACTTGCGGTTATCTGGTGTTGAGGTCTGTCTTATTTAAAACTTATCTGTTCTGTCATAAAATGATTTTGATTTTTTTTTTTTTTTTGATTTTTATTTTTGTTTGCAGATCACTTACACAGTGACTTCACCTGAGATTGCCTTTACGGGTGATACAATGTCCGATTTTGTTGTTGACCCAGATAATGCTGAGGTCCTAAAAGCTCGAATTCTTGTCATGGAGGTGCATTTTTTTTTTGGCTGACCCTACTTAGTGGGATAAAGTTGTTGTTGCTTTTTGACTTGTAGTGACCTTTAATGATCTTTTAGTCTCTTTTGTCAACCATACGAAGGATGAGTTGTCCTATGGGCTCTTTGTTAATTTTATATGTCTGAGTGAATTGGGAAAAATATAAGGTGACCCGTAGGAAGTTTAAGAGAACAATTTGTGACGATAAAAATTCTGCTTTGAGTGATCTTTATAATATATTATATACTAAAGGGAGTAAAAAATATGTATAAACTTGCCAAACAAAGAGAAAGTAAAAATAAAAATTTAAAGTGTATTAATGATGAAAATCAAATAGTGTTTTTCGTAGAGGAAGATATTCAACATAGGTGGGTGAGCTATTTTGATTAACTTTTCAATGAAGTTTCTGTAAATATGATCGACGTTAGTGATCTTAATATCTTTAATAATATTAAAATATTTTATTTTTACCGTTGCAATAGTAAAAAAGTAGTTGAAGAGGTTTTAAAAACTAAAGGTGGAAAATTAGTAGGATCTGATGTTTTCTCAATTGATGTGTGGAAATATTTAGGAGACCTGAAAGTTTCTTGGCTTACTAAGCTCTTTAATATTTTTTTAAAAACTAAAAAGATGCCTCAAGAGTAGAGGAAGAGTATTTTGGTCTCCATTTTTAAAAATAAAAGGGATGCACAAAAGTGTGTAAATTATAGAGGAATTAAGTTGATGTGTCATACTTGAAAATTATGGGAAAGGGTAATATAACATAGGTTAAGACGTGATATAAAGTTTTTTAATAATTAGTTTGGATTTATGCCACACAGATCTACTATGGCAGCTATTCATTCATTGAGAGGTTTGATGGAGAAGTGCATAGAGAATAAGGAAGATCTACATATGATTTTTATTGATTTTGAAAAAGCTTACGATAAGACTCTTAGAGAAGTCCTTTGGAGAGTTCTAAAGGAGAAATGTGTTGATATGACATATTCAAGTAATTAAAGATATGTAAATTAGAGTTGTTACTTGTGTTTGAACAGAGAGAGGATTGCCTAGTATTTTTCTATTCCAGTTGGATTACATCAGGGATTGGCTTTAAGCTTTAAGCTCATATCTTTTTGCTTTAGTTATGGATGCTCTTACTGGACATTTCAAGGAGGATGTACTTTGTTGTATGATTTTCACTGATGATATCCTTCTTGTGGAAAAGACTAGAGAAAGAGTTCAGAAATAATTTGAATTATGGAGGTCTACATTGGAGTCTAAAGACCTTCGTTTGAGTACAAATGGAACATAATCAAATGGAACGTAATTTTAGTAGTGGTAGCTCTAGTGACAGAGTTGTAACTATGGGTGATCAAATTATTAAAAGGTGTGAACGCTTTAGATATCTTGAGTCTATTGTTTAAAGTGATAGTGATATTTGGTGATATAGATGGGGATATTATTACTAGAATTCAAGTTGGTTGGTTGAAGTGGAGGAATGCATCAGACCTATTGTGTTATAGAAAGGTACCACTTTTGCTGAAAGGAATATTTTATAAGATGGCGGTGACACCTGCAATGTTCTATGACACAGAATGTTGGCCTTTAAAAAAGAAGTATAAAACAAGGTTAATTGTTGCAGAGATGAGAATGCTTAGGTGGATTAGTGACTTGACACGTAGAGACAAAATGTGAAATGAATATATCCGTGAGAAGGTTGGTGTAGCTTTAGTGGCGGACAAGATTAAAGAGTCGTTTTAGATGGTTTGGTCATATTAAAGGTCGATCATCTGATGATTCTTTTAGGAGAGTAGATGTTTTAGATTTGACTTATGTTAAGAAAGATAGAGGTAGACCTAAAAAGACTTGGGCTTATTGTATAAAAATGATCTTAATCTATTAAAATTAAATAAAAATATGACACTCAATCAGATGCAATGGAGAAAAAGGATTCATGTAGCCGACCCCACTTAGTGGGATGAAAGCTTGTTGTTGTTGTTGTTGTTGCAGTATCTCTGAGTGAGCGTCCTAGACAACCTTCTTTAGATAGTCATTATCACTTCCTTTTTCGTGTTGGTTTCTTCTCTTTTTTGGATCTACCAGTCTTATCAAAAGGAAATTTTACCTACATAGAATTTCAACTTGCCAAAACTTAATTATAAGCATATCTTGTGGATTTTATGTTATTAAAGAATGAGTTTGAAAAAACTTGTATAAATGTGATTATTGAAGATTGGGGACCTTGAAGATTCAAAGTTGTTGTGATATCATTTCGTGCATATGATGGTAAGCTTTGCATACTATAGTCACCTTTTCACTTGTCATATTTGTTCACAGAAGATTTTTGATGCTCTTTAACTATCTTGAATTCCTCCACATCCACCTTTGCACTTTGAGTTCAAGCCATCCTTATTCGGAATTTTATACAGTAGCCATATATCTTGGGTGTCTGAGGTCTGCCATTAGCAGTTTGGTGCAACTGCAATCATACTGGACATTGGGAGATGTCAAGACACTGGCCTTGAAAGTATAGAGACAACAGAAGCATAGTAGGCAACAATCATCCTTCAGGCGGTGACCTCCAGAAAAACGACCTCCTACAGTTACCACAATTGACAAGGGCACCCAAGAGAGACTAGCAAGCCCGAACACGAGTAAGATAACCCAAATCAGAGTGAGAAGAAGTTAGAGAAAGGTAGCACCTCCAACACTGTATTGGCCAGGAAATGTTTCAAGTATCATGATTACAACCACATAACCTCCAGTTGCCCCACGAGCAGAGTAGTCTCACTTTTTTATCAGGGCATGAGATTAGCGATGAAGAGAAAACCGAGGAACAAGATGAGGTGTATCAACTTCTCTCAGATGAAGGAGAGACGCTCATGATTCGGTGAGTCCTGTAGACTGAGGACACTAGGGATTCGCAGTAGCTTCGCCACAACATTTTTTACGCCCGCTACATAGTGAATGAAAATCTATGCAGTTTCATCATCAACGGCGGAAGCAACAAGAACATAGTGTCGATACATAGAAATTAGGACTCACAACACATACATTCCCAACCACATCCACTTAAATGGCTTAAGGAGAATCAAGACAGCATCAATTAAAGATGCTTGGTAGAATTTTCGATCTATGGATGCTTGCCATCTTCTGCTTGGAAGACCATGAATTTGACTGAAGCACTCAACACGATGGATATAGAAACACGTACTCTTTCGCCAAGGAAGGGAAGTGCATCACCCTCCTTCCTTCGACAGAGCCTGAAGTAATAGGAATGTCAATGAAACTAGTTTTAATGATGAAACCAGATAAGAGGACTGAGCCACCCACCCCCAATGTAGGGCAAATAAAACCAAGTTTATGTCAAACTAATGTCGTACGAGCAACACCAACACCGTGCGGGAAGGATCCGATTACTATCACTACATGCTTATTGAACCGAACATATGTTACTATGGGCAGATTCACCAACATAGGCGTGGTACACAGCCCAAAAAGGACAGATCTAAATGAACGTTTACTTGCAAGTTAGGGAAGACCCTTTGATGCCCCGGGAGACAGTGCAGTCGTCAGTGGGATCCAAGGGTGGCTGACTACAAAATGAAAGCTTCTACTATGAAGTCGAAGCTTCCCAACCCTAGGAAACTGATACGGGAGAGCCCGATTACAGGTGTTGTTCGAGCGTTAAAACAACACCCGGTTTGGGGCGCTGGATAGTGGCCGATTCGGATGTTTCGAACCGCGGGGCTAGCCTGTTTGGCATTGCAGAAGCAAGAGCGGCGCAAAAGGAGGAGCGGGAGTTTGTGAATCGTTGCGAGGGAATGCGATGATTCAATGATCTTGTGCGAATGCAGGAAGGATCGCGGCAGGGATCACAAACTATGGCGATCTGGCTTGGGTCATCACGAATCGGCTGCTCTAGGGAGTGCTTGTTGGATTTCTCTAGGATTCCTACTCTCTTCCTTTATGTAGAAGCTTCCTATGTTTGGAGGGAGCCTATAAATTGTTGTCCTAGGTATGTAGGGAGTTAGTTCTTGGTGTGTTTAGTTTCAGATCTTCTGTGTGAAGTCTCTTTCCTCATTGTGGGCTGTATCTGAGGAGGTGATGGGGCTTTGGTTATATCTTCTTCAAGGTAATGACTATATCCTCCCTTTTACTTTCCCAAACCTTCTCATCCCCATTCTTCAGCTGTCAAACTCTCTCTCTGTCACCCCAACACCCAACCATTTCCCCCTCCCACATGTTATTACTGCTAACCCGCTTTGCCAACTTCTTTCAAGCTCCTTCCAACAACCCACTATAGTTGCCGACCACTTACAACCCTTTCCCACCTGCTGTCCCTACAATTCTGCACCATCCTTTCGGTTGCCACCAGCCTCCCGTGACCCTTGTAATTCCTTCCAATCATCTCTATCCCTATAGCCGACCGCGACCACCCTTTGGAATACGTTTAGAAGTATTTGCTTGTGTCGTTCCATGTTTTGTGTAGTTATTTCCATTCGAGTCATGTTGTAACCCTATTTTAATATTATTGAAAGTTTGTTTTATGTTTTCCTAACTAGTTTCAGTATCATTTTTGTATCCATATATTTTATTATGGATGATAATTCACGAAATGACTATACTTTTATTTAACAGAAATACACCTGAGCAGCCTAATTTCATCCAATCGTAGACTAATCGGATGTACATATTCAAAATTTTTAATTTGGTATTTCTTAACAATATACAATTTCATTGAGAGATAAGGTACGGACATTCTGATTGGCATAGAAAACCTATAGCCAATGAATATAACTAATGTAACATCCAAAAGTAGTATTAATGCCATGCTTTTATTAAGCTGATATGTATGCCATTAAGGGATACGCTTCAATTTTTACTTATTCATTTATTTTCTTTATTTCTGCATCCCATCATTTTTTGTTTCCTTTCATTACTGATGCTAACAAAGTCTACTTATTGTTTCCTTAGAGTACTTTTGTTGACAATGCAATGTCAATAGAGCATGCTAGAGAGTATGGCCACACACACTTATCCGAGGTTAGTCCCTTAAAGTTGATTTTTTTCTAACTTCAGAGACTAAAACAAGATGGCGTTAGGGTAACCTTTTTTTTTTTCTTTTTCTGTTGTTGTTATGTCTTCTTTCTGCTGTCTAGATAGCAAGTTATGCAGATAAGTACCAGAACAAAGCTTTAGTGTTAATCCATTTTTCCGCTCGATATACTTCAGAGGTAGACCCTGCAGACTTCTTCTATAGCTGCAACCTTTTTAACATATCCTATCCCTGCCGCTACAAATGACTTTTTCCCATTGATTTTATTGTTTCCTCTTTTAAAGTTTTCCGCAGATTTTGCTGAACTTGCAAATAAATTGTTTACTGTTAATTTTTCATTATGCATTGTAGCCTCGTTTTCTTTTTTCTTGGATTATCTACTAAAGCTGTGTTGAAGTTTCTCGTGCTTATTGGCCGCCTTACATTTTCAGCATGTTATTGAGCTTAAATCCAGTGGTTATGTAATATTTAAAAAGCTAATTTTTTTGCTTTTATTTATTTGTAAATAAGGCATAAAGCATGTCAAAAAAAATTGATGGTTGTGGCTACCTGGCTCTTCTTTATTGACATTTTTTCAAAATCTTTTGTTGCTTTTATATTCTGCTGCTTTTAGTGATTGATTTTTTCTTTGTTTTGCTTTTGTAACCATCTTTCTTATATATTATATGTTTCTTTTTTGTCTTTCTAACCTCCCAGTTAAAATAATGGTTATAGGAGATTGAGGCTGCAATTGCAAAATTACCTGCAACTTTAGCTAGCCGAACTTATGCACTGCTGGAGGGTTTCTAGCTTCTTTTGGAACATCAGATGTGTGCTGGGACATACTGGTAAGTATGATAGTAACTTTTTTGTCTAAAAAAAAATCAAACTTCTTTCTGAATATGTTTCATTCAGTTCTGCAATTGCCTTTCTATATTGTCTCTGGAGGGGGATTTCAAATTAATGTAATAAAAAGTAGGCCAACATTGCTGACAGAAAGATTTATACATGTTCATATTAGATTAGTTTGATTACAAAATGATTGCAATCCTTGAGCTTTGCCCCTGACATCTTATTTCTACTTCTCTTTTTAAAATAGCTTTTGAATTAGTTATTCTTTCTGTCATTGAAAAAGAGAATAAAATTATTTGTAAAATATTTTATAAAAAAATAATAATCCATATATTATTCTGCCATGACTGGTTATAATATTGACTGTGACATTGATTGCCTTTCATGCTTAATTTTTTTCAATCTATTAGACGGTTCGAATACGAATCGAATTAGCTTCCCCTTCCATAGTCTAGATTCTCATTATCGCTGCCTACTACTCTCCTCTTACTTTTGTTGTTGTTGTTGTTGGTGCTGCTGGTGGCGGTACAGCTGTCCCCATCGTCGCTTGTTCAACTATCTGCTTCTCAGCCTACTCTTATTGCCACCGAATTTTGTTATGTTAGTTGGACAATATGAGAGAAGTCTATGATGGTAAAATCATCTTATATCTTACTTTGATATTATGTTACTTTTATTTCATATTTTATATTAGTTTAACGACTTAATTATTTGATGTTTACATTATATTTTTATTTTGTGCAAGTTGGTGTATGATATTTTGTGGCTTATACAATTTGTTATTTCATATAGATGTAATTTGTCACTCTTTTTATAATGTTAGGATGTTAATGTATTTTTTTTTAATATATCAGTAAGTTATGATGCTAATATAATATTTTTTTTACCCTTTTTTTTCACTTATATAATTTTTAAGCTATAAGGCTTACACCTCAGACTGTCTCAAGACTTACGCTCTGCCTCGTGAACCAAAAACACCTCAATACTAATTGTTTATAAAGTTGTTGTTCAAAAAACTGTGGTGGCTATTATAATATTTTTTTAAAGGTCAAGACCATAGTTTTATGAGAATATTTCTCAAGTTACTTTGATGTGTATTGTCATTTGGCCTCATGAAAGACCAAGGGGGTGTTTGGTAGCTGGATTTAGAAAGGGATTTATGTATTATTTATTGTATATCCAGCCAAACAAAAAAAAATCGGACAAATTACATCCTTACTTCCCCAAATTCAATTTTTAGGCTTTAAATAATTATAATAATTAGGTATTTTGATTAAGAAAATCTGAAAAATACTTGATATAACTCTTAATGAGATCGATTAAATGTTTGAAAACCTTTTATTATGTGATATGTACCATGGTATGGTATGCTTAGGGGTATAACAATAATTTATTAGTTACAGGGAAATTTTTGAAGATAAATAAAATGGTTTAATTAAATAATGGAAAATTTTAAAAATTTAAAATTATTTAATATATATATATTTGAAAAGTTTTAAAAATTTAAAATTAGGAAAAGCTCTTATTTTTAATTGATTAACGCTTTTAAAGTATCTTCAAAAATTTTATAAAAATTCAATGTCAGGAAGAGGAAATAATATTATATATCTAAAATTATATTAAAACTCTAATCAAAATGTGTCACGTGCTCCACTAAATAAAAAAAAATTAAATAGCTTGATACATGACGAGGTTGAACATTACATGTGATGCATTATAAATGGAGACATGATGCAGTTTTGTATCAGGATTTTTTGTGTAAAATTTTTTTTCACGAGATGATGCAAAAAATATTCTTTGAAGGTTATGAAGTTTTGAAATTTGATAGTGAATATAAAAGTTTAAAATTTTTAATACCCTAAAAAAAATTTCAAATTTCATTAAATAATTTTTATGGACGTATTATAAGATGATGGATTAAGTTTTTAGTCATTTAGTAATTTAATTTATAAATAAATAAATAAGTCATTCTTTTGATTTTTTTAAGTCTTTTGAAATAATTAGTACGAAATTGATATACCTTTTCTTTTTCCTAACAAATTGGAAGACTCTGGATATACAAAGCAGTTCGTCCATTCTAAATCCGACGGCCAAGGTTCTCCCGACTACGGGAAGCTATGGAAAAATTCTAGATGCTTCCACCATGGACGGCAACGACCGGCTCTACAGTCTTCTCTCTAGACCTCAATTGCAATTTATATTCTCCTCGACTCCCTCCCTCTTCCTGAAACTAGGAAGCTGATCTGAGAATAGGAGCAAGATGTTCGGGAGGGCGCCGAAGAAGAGCGACAACAAGAGGTATTATGAGATTCTCGGCGTGTCGAAGAACGCGTCGCAGGATGATTTGAAGAAGGCGTATCGCAAGGCGGCCATCAAGAACCATCCGGATAAGGGAGGCGATCCGGAGAAGGTAAAGTTGATATTGGTTTTACCTGCTTTCGGATCTTTGAGTTTGATGTGTTGGGTGGTTTGGTGATAATCGGGAAGGTTGATATCTTGTTTTGGAAGTGGTTTTCTATCGTTGGTTGTAGTTTTCTTTTTTAATTTCTTTTGGTTAGCTTGGCGATCAGTGTAATTGTTTATAGGTTGTGTTGGAAGCTTGTTAGCGGGGGATATGGAGTGCTTCTTGTTTTAGTTTAATTTAGTTAACCCTGAAGATTTATGTAGTTGGGTTTTCCTCTTGCGGTAGCAGCATTGTTTGCAGTTTCTTGAGTTTATTTGGTACTTTACCGCTTGAAGGTGGTTTCCTTCTGGAATTTATTAGATATTACAAGATTATGGCCTGTTCAGATCTGAAGTTAAAACAATCAAGCTCGTGATTGGATTACTTTTAGGATCTGTTAGTTCAATGTTTATAGTTTTTTAACGGACCTGATGATTGGTTATCAGAGTTTTTTTTGTTTTTTTTTATGATTATGGATTGGAAGAGCATGGAACAATAATCCAAATCAGGATACGTTTGTTTTGTGATGCATATGCTTTGATGCTCTCCAATGTGCAACAAATAGTACATTCCAGTATTGAAGTGAATATATTTGAAACTTTATTTGCTTAATCGTTTAGATATTTTAAGCATTTGTAGGTCAGATTAGCATTTGCTCTTTCAATGTCAGCGTGATGACGCCTTCTATCGCCGTAAATAGGGCATTTGGGATTGTTTATTTTTAGTCACATCAAATCTCACATTAATAACACTATTTTATTCAAATCATTGGTTGAGTTTGATCTGTACAGATTGCTTGTTACTACCTATTGTTTATCATAAAATTTTATCTGCAGTTTAAAGAGTTGGCCCAAGCTTATGAAGTGCTGAGCGACCCTGAGAAGAGGGATATATATGATCAGTACGGCGAAGACGCACTCAAGGAAGGAATGGGCGGTGCCGCCCATGATCCCTTTGATATTTTCCAATCTTTCTTCGGTGGAAACCCCTTTGGTGGTAGGTTTAATATTATACCTGTCTAACCCCATTGAGAATTGAGATCTAGTTCCATGTCTTACCCTCTTGATCACCATGACAAGAAGATCGTGGTGGCGGCCGTGGACGCAGGCAGAGGAGAGGAGAAGATGTGATTCACCCATTGAAAGTCTCCTTGGAAGAACTCTACAGCGGAACTTCAAAAAAACTCTCACTTTCTCGCAATGCTCTTTGCTCAAAATGCAAAGGGTGAGTTATTGGTATTGAGTTTCTCTTCATTAGCGGCGTTCTGTGCTCAACTAAATAAAGCTATATTGCTTGTTTGGCAGGAAGGGATCTAAATCGGGCGCATCAATGAAATGCTCTGGTTGTCAGGGTTCGGGTATGAAGGTCTCTATTCGCCAGTTGGGGCCATCCATGATTCAACAGATGCAGCATCCCTGTAATGAGTGTAAAGGGACTGGTGAGACCATTAGTGACAAGGACCGGTGTCCCCAGTGCAAAGGAGAGAAAGTTGTGCCGGAAAAGAAGGTCCTTGAGGTCCATGTTGAGAAGGGTATGCAGAATGGGCAGAAAATCACCTTCCCCGGGGAGGCTGATGAAGCGCCGGACTGTCTCACCGGCGACATCGTGTTTGTGCTACAACAAAAAGACCACTCTAAGTTCAAAAGAAAAGGCGATGATCTCTTTGTCGAGCACACGCTATCCCTAACCGAAGCCCTCTGTGGCTTCCACTTCATATTAACCCATCTGGATGGCCGGCAGCTTCTCATCAAATCAAATCCCGGTGAAGTCGTCAAGCCCGGTAACCTTCCCCATCCAATTACTCAAAACCACAAGCTAAGTTTTATCCCTTAGTTCTACTGTGTACTATGGCTATAAGCATGGTTCAATATGTGCAGATCAATTCAAGGCCATCAACGACGAGGGCATGCCGATGTACCAGAGACCGTTCATGAGAGGCAAGCTTTACATCCATTTCACCGTGGAGTTCCCAGACTCACTGAGCCCGGAACAGTGCAAATCTCTGGAGTCGATCCTCCCCGCGAGGGCTCGGACTCAGCTGACGGACATGGAGATTGATGAGTGCGAGGAGACAACGCTGCACGATGTGAACATTGAGGAGGAGATGAGGAGGAAGCAGCAGAGCCAGGCTCAGGAGGCCTATGATGAGGATGAGGAGATGCATGGTGGCGCTCAGCGAGTGCAGTGTGCTCAGCAATAAGAGAGGACATGGAAGTGAGCTAGCTGCCTCTGTTCTTATCTATGTTTTGAATACTTAGTTTTGTTGTTAAGAACCGTGTAGCCATTTGTGGAGCTTTGGCTGAACTCTATAAAATGAAGTTTATGTTTCCTACGTACTCTGTTATTATTGTTTGGTTCATCATTTTAGTTGTGTTTCTGCAGATTAATAATGGGAAAGCTATGAAATTAATTTGATTGAATTTAAGAATAATACATCAAATGATATGGATGAGGGAAAGAAAGTGGGTTTGAAAACATGATTTAGAGGAATTCTAAGTCTCTAAATCTCAAAATTGATTTGTGATTGAAATACATGCAATTAAGTTTTTTTCATTTTATATCATGTATTTATATGTTATGAAATGTTATGTTTAAGATATTAGACTTTGCAACCAAAGTAAAATGAATCAATTGAACTGATTTATTCCATTTTATCTTCCACTGAGAAGTGTAGGGCTGTGTCAGATCACTTGTCCAAATAATTGTAGGAAACAAGCTGGCCGCCTTGCATCATGCACTTGTGGCACTTTCCACCCATGCAGTGAAGTTGGTAAGAGTCTTTGCTCATTTTGGTAATGAATATGCCCATGATCAATAGCTCCAATATGGATGCAAATTTTGCGTCCGGGGTTGATGCCACTCTTTTAAAATTTATCGAATTAATGTATTACAGTGAGGTTCACTTATCGCGTGATAAATTTGCACTGGACTCTTGCGGATATAAAATTTTCTCCTTTCTCCAAAGAACATTTTCATCAGTGTGAGTTATCAAACAACAATGCAGATTAACTTGTCTGTCACACCTTTCTCCCTTACATTATTCTTATAACCCACCATCTCTGGTCATCTTGCCGACCAACTATAGTTTTGAAGCCTATTACTATCATTGCAATGAAAAAAATTCCTCAAATTCTTTCACAAGTGAGAGATAACTTTTGTGCTCCATATTCAAAGTGATTTTAAGTTCAAAAAATACAAATAATAATATTTTGGGTGAGAAACCGGTAAATACACGTTTCCCATGAGGGTACTCAAAAGGGTTTGTTGTTCTTGAACCGTTCCTGTTCGGCTCGTTAGAAGTTTGTGTTCTATTCGTTTGCCGATTTAATGAGCCAAACACGAATAATTTATTTGCGCTCAATATATAAATGAATAGAGCACGAACAACAATTTGTTTGTTCATGTTCTGCTTGTTTTGAAACGAAATAATTATATATATGTATAAAATTGGTGAGTACTATTTTTAAAAAATTAAATGAACTAGAATGATACAAAAATTTTTAATAAATTAAGGCTATTAATTAAAAATATAGAATAAAAATATATTAAATCATATTTAAAAGATATTTTAATATAAATAATAAGATTTAAATCTCGCTCGAACTCTTAACATGCTACAACTATTTTATCAGGGTTGTCAAAGCAACACTTTATTCAGTAATAGCTGGTGTTTGGCAAAAGAGCCGAACACAAAATATTTTTTATGTGCGAATATTAACGAGCAACAATAATAATTTTGAACGAGTCAAAAGTGAGCTAAGTATGAGCCCGCTCAATTTTGCCTCGTTTACAACCCTATTTCCCATACTATGTACGTTCAAATAATTTACAAGAATTTATCAATATGCAAGTATTATTATGTCAAATAATTATCTTTTAAGTTAAATTTATTCACCTTAAAATTTGATAAATTCAACTTACAGCTATAGGGCTGCAAGGACCGATATCCAATTCTTCCACCGCCGAGATCGTTGGCCGGAGCGAGAATCCCAATATCCCGCAACACTGTGATAGTTCGCCGGAGCGAGAAAGAAGCTCGATTCACCGGCGATGTTCCTGTCGGGCAATGCCAACACTCTTGCTGTAGCGGTGGAGATCCTGTCTCTGTGCTTGGTGTTGATTTTGGCCGATGCACGGGACGAGAATCATGTGTTTCAGCCCTGCGAGGACGCGAAGATCCAGCGATGGGATGGGTTTACGTTTGGCCTGGCATTCTCAGATCGTGATTCTTTTTTCTTCAATGGTACTCAGCTGTCGCCCTGCGACAGTCGCCTATCTCTCGCCAACAAGGGCGCGCAGCTGGCCGTGTTTCGTCCTAAGGTTGATGAGATTTCTCTTCTTACCATCAATACCACCACCTCGTTTGCTCCGGTGAGATCGATTTCTGTCCCTTTCTTTTATTGATTGAATTGGGTTTTCTCTTTAAATTTGCTTTTTAGGGTTCCGGTGCTATTTTGTGACACTCTTCTATTAAATTTGAGTTTGTTTTTCTTCTGGTTAGCGTAGTTCCGATCCCGTTCCATTTCCATTCATCACCCATTTGTACTGATTCCTCCTTTTAGATCCAGGTCAGATCATTGAGACTTCTTATTGAAGCAAGATTTTGTGGATTATTCTTGGCGTTTCAATGAGTTTGTCGCCTTGAAAGGGAAACAAAGCATAATTGCAGACATCGAGCTCCTCAATTTTTTAAAATTGAAGATGATAATTGCTCGTTGACGATTGTTGTGTAAGACTGTATTATTAGGATGGAAAGGTAGCAGCTATTTTTGTTGTCTTGGAAGAAATTGGCCTGTAAACGACGACCCTCTGGGGATGTATAAAAAAATGATCTTAATTTATTAGAATAAAATGAAAATATGAGTCTCAATAGGACACAATAGAGGAAAGTGATTCATGTAACTGGCTCCACTTAGTGCGATAATGATTGTTGTTATTGTTAGAAGAAATTGGCTTGTGGTGAACAAATCTTAAAAAATACTTAGGATTGCACATTCAATGGGAATCATGGACAAAATTAATAGAGTTTACTTTATAGCTCTTCATGCCACAGAGAAATCTAGAGGCCTTACTTCTAATATTCTTCGAATAAATGCTAAAGAGGATACATCCGTGGACACCGTGTTGTGAAGTTCAGGGACAATTTGCGAATAAGTCCCCTTATGAATTTCTTAGTTGTGTTTTGGATGTAACAATGATTGATATGATTCTTGATGATATAATGTATATCCAAGCTTGTATTGTTAATTCTTTCAGAACATGGATCGAGTTTCTCGAGTGCGGATTGATTAGCATATCTTTTTTTTTTTTTTTTTTTTTTTTGTTTTTTATAATGTTGGTGTCGACGCAACATGGACCTGCTTGAGAGATTGTTAGTCATCATATCCATTAAATTGTTTTTGGTATCATTGTTGGTGGCAGAGTGAAGTTGTGAACTCACGTCATTAATCTGGATTTCATTTTGAGTGGTTAGTCAATTAGGATGTTAATTGGTAGATATGCGTTTGTCTTGTATTCCATAAATAGCTTCATTTAGAGAGAGTTGAGTTGTGAAAATGAATGAATAAGTTTCATTTTTGTATCAAGATTTTTTCTTTCTTATTGGAGGAGATTTAAATGGCTAGAAGGAATTTTTTTTTAAATTTCTCAAGTAGGTTTAAATATATGTTTAAAAGAAAAATTTTGGAATGACCTAGAAGAATTAATACAAATGATACCTCTTAAAAAAATAATTTTTATTGGAGGAGATTTAAATAGACATGTTAGTAGAGTAATAGAAGATTTAGAAATAATCATGTTGGTTAAGATTGTGGAGCGATTAACGAAGAATATAGTTATATTTAATTTTATTTTAATTTATAATTTTATTATTGCTAATATTTTATTTAAGAAAAAAGATTAACACATTATCACTTATAAAAATGAATATATTAAAACACAAATTGATTAGTTTTTTATTAGAAAAAGAGATCGTCAAGAATGTAAAGATTGTAATGTCATTCCAAGTAAAAAATTTATGTACTCAACATCAATTATTAGTTTTGTATTTTAAGATAAAATTTTGGAAGATAAAAAATACAATAAAATATTATCATAAAATTAGATGAGGGCAATTGACAAATAAAATTATTTTTACGAGTAACTTAGGGTGTTCATGAAGAAGCTAATTTTTGTGGTATCAAATAGCAAGCACTATTAAACAAGTGATAAAAGATTTACTTTGAGAATAATAAGGAAAAATTTTTATAAATAAAAAAAGAGGTGGTGGAATAATAATATTCAAGAAAAGATAAAATATAGGAAGTTTTATTATAAGTATTGGTTTAAATGTAAAAATTTTGAGAATTGGGAAAAATATAAGATGACATGTAAGGAGTCTAATAAATTAATTTGTGATACTGAAAATTCTATTTTTAGTGATTTTTATAATAGATTTGATATTAAAGTTGATGAAAGATATGTATAAACTTTTCAAATAAATAGAAAAGAAAAGTAAAAATTTATTTCAAGTGAATTAAAGATGAAAATTAAAAAATATTTATCTGTTGAAGATATTCAACATAGGTGGGTGAGATGTTTTGATAAACTTTTCAATAAAATTTATGAAAATATGATCGACTTTAGTGATTTTAATATCGTTAATAATAATAAAACATTTTATTTTTACACTCGCATAATTAAAAAGGAAATTGGGGTGGTTTTAAAGAAAATGAGGGGTTGAAAATCAGTTTGACGTGATGGTATTCCTATAGAGCTGTGAAAATATTTAGGAGATTTGGAAATTTCTTGGCTTACTAAACTTTTTAATATTGTTTTAAAATCTAAAGAAATGTCTAAGGAATGGAACAAGAGTATTTTGGTCTCCATTTTTAAGAATAAAAGGGATGCACAAGGGTGTGCAAATTATAGATGAATTGATTCAATGTGTCTTGCATTAAAATTGTGGGAGATAGTAATTGAATATAGGTTAAATTTTAATACAAAGATTTCTCATAATCAGTTTGAATTTATATCGGGCAAGTTTACTATGGAGGTTATACATTTTTTGAGAGACTTGATGGACAAGTACAGAAAAAGCAGTATATGATTTTTTGTTGATTTAGAGAAGACTTAGGATAAGGTTTCAAGAGAAGTTGCTTAGAGAGTTATAGTAAAGAAATGTGTTGATATGACTTATATTCAAGTCATTAAAGATATGCATACTGGAGGTGTTACCTGTGTTCGAATAGAAGAAGAATTGACCAAGTATTTTCCAATTTCAGCTGGATTACATTAGGGATCAACTATAAGCATATCTCTTTTTGCTTTAGTTATGGATGCTCTTACTAGACATTTATAGAGGATGTACCTTGGTGTATGTTTTTCGCAGATGATATCCTTTTTGTGGATAAAACTCAAGAAAAATTTGAATTATGGATGTTAGTGGGGTGTAACAATGGGTGATCAAATTATTAAAAGGAGTGAATGTTTTAGATATCTCGGGTCTATTGTTCAAAGTGACGGTGATATAGATGGGGATGTTATTATTAGAATTCTTAGAATTCAGTTGAAGTGGAGGAATGCATCAAGCCTATTGTGTGATAGAAAAGTGCCACTTAGACTTGAAGGAAAATTTGCCACTTAGACTTAGTGCCACTTAGACTTGAAGGAAAATTTTATCAGATGGTGGCGAGACCCGCGATGCTTTAATGCACATAATGTTGGCCTATAAAAGAGAAGCATAAAACTAAAGTGTTGATGAGATGAGAATGCTTAGGTGGAGACAAAATGCGAAACAAATATATTCATGAAAGGGTTGGTGTAGCTCCAGTGGCAGACAAGATTAGAGAGTCGTCTTATAGATAGTTTGGTCACATCAAATGTTGGTCATCTTATGCTCCGATTAGAAGAGTAGATTTTTTAGATTTGACTTATGAAGAAAGGTAGAGATGGACCAAAAAAGACTTTGGCATGTTGTATAAAAAATTATCTTAATTTATTAGAATATAAGTGAAAATATGACACTCAATAGGACTCAATAGGATACAATGCAGGATGGGTATTTGTATAATTGTGATTGGCATTTTTATTAGAAACTTTAAGATGGTGCTCTTTAAGCTTTATTTCTTTAATCTTTTCGCTTGGTGCAAATGCTGAAATTCTTTTACCAAGTAAATCAAATATTAAGAATCGTCGTTACTAAGAGCTTCAGAATTGAATCTATAATTGAGCAGAGATTGCTAATTCACCAAGAAGCTTTAGTGGATTGTAAGTTTGGTTCATTTTATGATTTGCTTAAATTTGTCCCACATTAATAGTTCTAAAATTTATGACTGTTAATTGATTGTTGGGTTTTGCGGCAATGCATAGTGTTAATTATGGTATCGTGATCACCATTCACTTCTATTGCTTTGATTTCTTCAGAATTTAGTTAGATTTGTCAGTTATCTAGTTATTACTTCTTGTAGGTAAGTTTTCAGGCCTAGGTGGAGGGGAAGCTGTTTGTTGGTGATTAAGTTGAAAAGATCAAGTAATGCTTAGCCTAACTTGTTCCATCAAATGAACTTGATCCCTGATAGTGGTTGAGATCAAATTCAGGATGGAACCATAATTGTAGCATCCCCTGAAGCTTGTATCTGATAAAGAAGATATGTTAAAATTGAAATACTCGCCAATTATAATTATTATTACTTAAAAGGGTAGAAATCTATTTAAAATAATTAATAATTGAAAGGTGAGCCTAATTTTACCTACAAATAAGGATGTGGGGCTAATTGCAAATCTATTTCATTATGAAATTTGGAATATTTAGTTTGAGAAAAATATCATAGGCTGACTTTGAACTTGTGAATTTTATCCTGGGAACTAGAGAGAATTCCATTTGAGCTATTGCTATTTTATAGAAATACTTTGCCAATTATATTTGTAGCCTATATTAGGAGAGATCTTCAACTTGTGATTAGATTATTGTATACTTGGAAAGTGGTTGTCCTTCTTCATTAGCAACTTCCAGATGCAGTCGATACTATAAGTGGCGGGCCGACGATCATCGAGTAGCTATGTGCTGTTTTTTGTTCGTGCTGTTGCTGCTCATGGTTATTGAGCATATAGTCATCATTTTTTGACATTTAAGGGCTGTATGGTGATGTCTTTAGCAGTTTTAGTAAATCCTATAAATTTGAGTTTACTAAATCATACAACAACAAGCTTTACTAAATTTGGGATTTACGATAAAACTAAGAAGGAACTTAATTTATAAAATCGTAGATTTAAAATTGAAATTTATCTATCCGGCAAGATTTAAGCTAAATCATACTAAAATTAGTTACCATTTAGCCCCTTAGTATCATAATTAACAGTTCTCAAGTTATTATATCATGCTTTGATTTTTTATGCAAAATACACTTTGTAAAGGATTTGTAGAAAGTATACTAGCACCCAAATCAACACTCAATAAAAAAAATGGGAGTATGAACAATATGGAGACATGAAGCCGACCCACATGCTTTGGATAAGATTAATGATAATAATGATGATGCGTTTTATTGTTTGCTAACATGTTTGTATTTAATTTATTTGTAATTTTTCTAAGTTTTTTATAACTAAGAAAATTTTTGTTAATCCAGTTCACTAGTGGCGGGTTGATGGTAGCATTTGCTGGGAGGAAGTACGCAGCAAGGTCCCTTCCCATTTTTGTTGGTAACGGTTCGTATGTGGTGACGAGCTTCACTATGGTTAGTTGAAGACTTTTTACATTTTCTTCCCAGGAAATTTACATACATACCACACAATTCTTACTTATTTATGATATCCACGCATGAAAAATATGTATTTCACTTTTAAAAGGTGATAATATTGTATGTTGTGAGCTATGTGTGTAAATCTGAAAGTTTAGGTGTGAGATAAATAGATAAAATCTGTGTGCCATGGATGTAATAATGTAAATGCCACTTTCTTCTTTTTAACACAATTCAAATTGCATTAAACTCAATATTTCCTTTCATCATCGACATCAATATGCAAATTCAGGTCATGGAATTCCAAAAGGGCACCCTTCAAAACCTATTTTGGAAGCGCGATGGTTGTTCTTCATGCTCCGGAAAGTCCAATTTTGTTTGTCTCAACAATCAGGACTGTGCAATCAAAGCATCTAGCTGCAAAGGTGAGGGACAAGGTGGCTCCGTCGATTGCAGCATCGGAATTCAGCTCGCTTTCTCGGGCACGGACAAGCACTATGCAGTTCTTAATTCGTGGTACGAGGTCTCGAATCTTCGTCAATATTCTCTTTACGGACTTTACTCGAATCTCAAGGATTCTCTCACAAGCCAATATGACAAAATCTTTTAGAACCATCAATGTTTTTGATGTTTTCATAGAACACCTTATGTTAACTTCTCCCTCCACAACTTGTATTTGTTTAGATGAGTGTGATTTTGTACTTTAAAATGTACTCTTGTTTACTAATTATTCTGCTTTGACATATTTGAGTCCAGGAAGATTTACATACATATTACTCAATTCCTAGGTATTTTACATATCTTACACCTTTCATTTTTTACATACGTGCCATCCTTCCTAAGCTGCCAACCCTGTTTTCCTTCATTAGATGCTTTTGTAATCTTGTCGCTTTCTTTGGCTCTGTCAATGAAGCTGCCGAGAACAGGCAAAAGCCACATCTAAGAGATATGAGGTCTGTTTGTGATAATTTTCCTCCTTTTTTCAAGTAATTATGGCTGTCAAAAAAAGCTCAATATTTGCAAATAATTTGTGTTTGGCTCGCGAAGTAGTTTGCGTTTGAATCATTTGTCAAGTAAATGAGCCAAACATGATAAGCTCGAAGTATAAATGAATTGAACATGAATAACCCTTTATTTGATCGTGTTTGGCACATTTTAGTTCAAAATAAAGAAAATATATATATTATTTATTTATATTTAAATTTAAATAATAACATCTTCTGTTATTATATAGTGTTGTGCTTTCTATTGCACAAAATTAATATTGATTTAAATCTACTCTCTTTTTTTTCTTTTTTTTTTTAATTTATATATCATCTTATTTTTGTATGAAAAAAATATATTTTACTTTTTTTTAAAGTTCAAATAATAATGTTTTTAATGTCGTGTAAATGTAAAAAAATAAACTTTTAGGTATTACATATATGTAAATACATAAGAATTTGGTGGTATGCAAGTAAATACCCCTAATTTGGTCGCAATTTACATACATACCATACCATCAAAATTTTTTTTGTGCGGACTCCTGACCTACTCTACGTGCGGCGCAGGGTATTTCTGAATTATTTTCAGGTTATTTCTGGGTTATTTTCAATAACTCAGAAATAACCCGTGATCTTTATTTTTGGGTTATTTCTGTGTTATTTCGAGATTATTAAAAATAATGAAGAAATAACCTGAAAATAATTCAGGAATAACCTGCATCGCACGTAGAGATACGTCAGGGGTCTACATAACAAAAGTAAAGTCTAGGCTTTAGATATGTAAAATACAAATGAATTGGGTGGCATGCACGTAAATTCCCCAATATTGCATTTCTAATACCACAAAATATTATTTCAAAAACCATCTAACAATTGAAAGACAATAATACACTCCTAATCCAAACATTCCCTTTTAACAAAATTAAATCAGGAATCATAAATACATGGATGCAATAGAAATAAATACACTTTGAATGTGAACATTTACATGTAATATTACCAGTCTTGGCTTCAAATGACCATAATGCTCCCCCACTGAACAACCATTTAGAGAGATCATATTTGCTTTTTCAACTCAAGAAGTTACACTGTTGATGCCGAAATATATCGTCTTTCTTTGCGAGGCATTGACGGCATAGTCGACTCGAAATTGGCCGAGCTGTGAGTTTAAACGAAGGCCGTAACCGAGCCCGAATCCATGCCCCGGTTTTCCTTGTCGAATCGCAGGGTAGCCTGAACCAGATTAATTAAAACAATCAGGACGGAGGACTATTCTTTATCATTTTGAAAGATTGCACAGTTTAAGCAAGATACAAGTTTGGAAGATTCACATACATACCCACTTAATTCCTATGTATTTATGTGAGAGCCCGAACTCTCACGCATCAACATATTGTCTGTTTTGGCCAAATGGTCTCACTGTTTTGCCCTGTTGGTGTAACTTCCAGGAGGTCAACCATCGTGGGAGTGCTCTCGTGCGAGCACACTCAACTTTGGAGTTTCAATCGAAATTATACCGTTACACCAAAAGGCACATCGATGCTTAAGAATTCAGCTTCATTCAACTTAAGAGGTTTCTAATTTACATGTCTAATATATATATATATGCTATCTTATCTAATATTTCACTTTTTAGACGTTAAAATAATGATATTTTTTTATGTGATATAAGAAGACTTAGGTGGTATAAATGTAAAAGTTAAAATTTATGTGCTAGATATGTAAATGACATAGGAATTGGGTGGTATGCATGTACAAAATGCCACCATTTTAACTTTTAAAAAGCGAAATATATCATTTCATGCATGGGTAAGATGACATATATGTAGAAATTGAAATTTAAGTGGTATATATGTAAACACATAGGTATTGAGTGGTATGTATGTAAATCTTCCATAATATTCTATGTCTAGTCTAGAATCATGGTGTATAAAAGACTAAAATGTTCTGCTCCAGTTCCATGGCACTTATCCAGTCATTAAGACATTAGAACAAAAATGAGCAAAGCGGCCATTTTGTATGCTTCAAAAGAGAAGAAAGAAGGGGAATTTACATTCATACCACTTAGTACTTAAGAATTTACATATCTAACATCAAATTTTATTTATTTACATTTATACCACTCAAATCTTTCACATCATATAAAAAATATCACTATTTTTAACTTCTAAAACATGAAATACATCTTTTCACGCATAGGTAAGACGGTATGTATGTAAAAATTAAATTTTACGCATTAGATATGTAAATATTTAGGAATTGAGTGATATGTATGTAAATCTTCCAAGAAAGAATCACCTGGAACAAGATGAGCAGATCCCAGGTCAGTTCCACAGTCCATGAATAAAGCCCCTTCTAACCTTTTTGACTGCAGAGGAAAAATTATGGCATAGGTTGGTAATTCTTGAACAATTTAGGATCAAATTGCATATTAAATTTATTCCCACATGCATTAAATCATAATGATAAAGATACAAACAGCAATAACTGTTAAAAAGAAAATAGTGATCAGAGTTTACAGAAGTTGAGAAATGCACAACAAAAGATTAAAAACGATTTACATACAAAACACTCAATTCCTATGTATTTACATATATATCACCTAAACTTCAGTATTTACATATATACACCAGCTTACCTATGCATGAAATGTGTAGTTTCACTTTTGAAAAGCTAAAATAGTGGTATTTTTATGTAATATGAAAGAGTTGGGTAGTATAAATGTAAAAAAGGCAAATTTTAGGTGTTGGATATGTAAATACATAGGAATTTGGTTTGTATGCATGTAAATGCCTTGAATCTCAGTAATAATGACTATTTTATGAAATGTCGGCGAAGCTTCAACTCCATAGTTGATAATGAACTCAATGGTGGTGAGGCATGAAATCAATGGAGCGTGCTCCATCAAAAAAATTTCAATTAAATCTCATAGATAAGCAAAGGTACCACATCATTTGATAAAGAGTAAATTCAACAAATGATTCCTAGTCTCCCAAAACTAGGAGAGAAATTAACCAAGCTGACTCGTGAGTCGGCTCGGGCTCGGCCCAATAAGTAGCTCGTTAGCTCGTGAGCTGAGTTTGATGATGCTAACAAACCAAGCTCAAACCAACCCAGACTCGATTCAATGGCTCGTGAGTTGACTAGTTTGAAAAAGTATTAATATAAAATATATTCAATATATATTAAAATTCAAAATTTTATTTTTAAAATATTTAATTTTTTTTAAAAATTGATATTTTATATTTTATATCAAGTTATTTCTTATTATTTATCTTTTAATTGCTCATTTATTGATCATTTTATTATAATACTAATTGGAATTAAAAATGTTTTCTCTCTTTCATTACAAATAAGTCGGCTTGAGCTCGTAGAATTAAGCTAAAGCTTGAGTTTGAACTCAATTAATTAATCAAGCTCAAACTGAGTATGGCTCGAGCTCTGCTCAACTCGTTTACACCCTACCCAAAACTTCCTCTTGCTCAAACTGAGTATGGCTCGAGCTCTACTCAACTCGTTTACACCCTACCCAAAACTTCCTCTTCAAATACGAACCAGCTTCCTCTTCCTCTCTATTTTTTTTCCAATAATCAAGACTACTGGTTTTCCTGGCTTTCTGTGACCACATCCACTAATTCAATAAAGTCAATCTGTTTATTTTTGTGGTTGACATCAACGTTTAGTGGGCTTTTTAGCCGACTAGATGTTGTTCATTTCTTTTTATTTTATCAACGAGTTTATGCACTATTTACTCGATTTTTTTAGAGGCAATTGCATACATACCGCACAATTCTTATGTGTTTACATATCTAACATCTATGTTTTGATATTTGCATCCATACCACTAAAATTATTAACACCACATCAAAAACAGCGCTATTACTAACTTTTTAAAAGCTAAACACATCTTTTCATATGTAGGTTTATGATACCAATGTGTTATGAATGTAAATATCAAACTGTAGGTGTTAGATATGTAAATATATAAGAATTGTGCGCATGTTGGTTAAAAGATGTAATAATAAGATGCACTAATAAAATTAATGAAGGATGAGAAGTATTATTATTGTGCCAAATATAACATGATTAGAATTTGTGTGGTGAAATTGGCATGATAACAGATATATGTAAAAAGATTAATAATGCTTACATTTAGTGATTTCAGACGCATAACCATGGCTCGTGAACTTGGAGCCATTGGGTTGCTTAAGCCTATAAGGGTTTAAGTAATTAAATTAGGTGCTTGCCCCTTAATGAAGACGGTGTTTTGGGTTTTTCCAACATCTATCGAGGCAAACTCCAAGTAATGGAATTTTAGTCTAGGTGTTGGTTAGGCATAGATACAGGCCCTAAAGTTGATCGAACTATATAAGAATATTCTTAGTGTCTCGAGTTCTAATTGTTGATTTAATTTACTTGTAAATTTATTTAATTGCTTGCTTATTAAATTACTCTAGCAGAGTTTTCAAGAAGCATATAATATAATTATTTTTTATGCTAAGCTAATGTAAACTATCACACTTGCACTTTGAAGTTTTATTTTCTCATATTCAGCATTGTGTTACTAGTGGTTTTCAATAAATTATATCATAGGTTTAGTTGAATTGATTCAAACCATTGTGTATACAAGTTACATCCCTTTGCATAATCTCAAAATCTACACCAATGTTTCACTTGTGTTATGTTGTGCAGGATTAAATCTATGGATTAAGGATAGTAATTGAAACATATAGTCATTGCAGTAGCTTGTTAGTATCGATTAAATGATTCCTCCTATGGTAACACATTATTTGTATGATTAGATTATGTGACTGATTATTGTTTTGATTGATATTGTTTATTAGCTTTCTTGAATTTTCTTATAGTAATATCTTTTAGCCTTTGTTGGGTGTAATTTGAGGGATTTGAATTCGTAAATTTCAAAAGAAATTCAAAGTGCCTAATTCACCCCCCTCTTATGTTTATTTTTTTCTTAAAGTGAGTTGAAGTGTCTAGCAAAATCTTGGAACAAGTGATTGTTGGCTTTTAGTTATGTTAAAGAAGACTAAAACAGGAGAGGCCTATGAACCTTAAGCTGTTGACCAGGCAAAGGATGTAGAGATGGAGGATCATAGCAAACCTCGTGTCAAAGCATCGATGATGGAGGAGACAACATTGCTACTAGATGAAGATGTACGAAGTGATGGAGACTTAAGTTGTTGAGGTGAAAAAGCTATAAGGATTCAAGAAGCAAGTCCTAAATCAGACATTAGACAAGATAAATGAAGTTATATCTAAGAAAATTGAAGGATTTATAGGATAAATATGAAAATTACTGCCTAAAGTGTTTGAGGCAAAGAATACAAAGTAATTGCTGTGACAGAGGAAGAGAGAGGTGTTGATCCATGCGTGAATGGAGAGAAGATTATCTGAGGTGGGGCGTTGAAGAGATTGATCATCCATTGGAGTAAGTGAAGTCCCAAATAACTGTCAAGTAAAACAATCAAACACATATTGTTGTCTCAAGACTAGGGGATATTAAAAAGATGGCCAAAGAATTTAAAGACCGAATAATCTTTAAGGAGTCTGCACTGTGTTCAATCAATCTGACAGAAATATGATTTCATGACATAGATGAAGATCGAGTACATAGAGATTATTCTTGTATATATGACAAGGTTTGGATATTTGAGATCAATGGCAATGCATGATACCAATTTCATTCATATGTGTCTTGACACATTTGAATAAGATCTGAGCAATTCTGACACAGAAGAATGCAAATTCAGAGTTGAGAGAATATTATCCACAATTGAGGCAATCCACAAGCTCTCAATGGCAAGAAGAAATTTTAAAAGGATGATCAAGAATTCTTATAAGAAACCCATTGAGCGTGAGTATAGTGAAAAAGTAGGGCATATTACAAACTTTTGAATTTTTTTTTTAACTAGTCGTCATTTGTATACTTCTATACTTGTATACTTGTAGCAAGCATTTTAAAGGAATAGACATTTGACTTTATAAACTATTCAAAAACTTGCAAAAGTGTTAGATGAAATGAAGAAGCATACCTTGCAAAGATATCTATTAGCTAGTAACAGCTCAATTTATTGTCTCATTTTTATGTTCGCTAATTTGGCGTAGATTGCTATGCTGCTTGATAAGTCATCTTATTGCTTGTTTAAAAATAAAATGAGTTAGTACCAAAAACAATGAAAACTTTCAAGTAAAAAGAGGAACCTCTAAGTGTTTAGCGAGCAAAAAGAGAAGAATGAGTTGAAATAATTTGTGTTCACTATGTATAGTGAGCAATACAAAAAGTGGTATATGAAATTATTAAGTTATTGAAAAAAACAAAGATGGTGTGACTTTATAAAATCATTTGGCCAAGAACTTTTGCATCTAAGCACTTCAGAAAGAGGGAAGTACAAATAATTCAATTAGCCTCGCAATTTGAGTGCACTCGGATATGAAAAATATAAGTAGATATAATTCCAAAAGAAAATTTACATGGCGGCATGATCATACTTGTCAATGACGAACAGTGCACCCTAATGCAAAGGTTCATGTGGAGCCTCAATACATGTGCAGTACGCGCCATTTTAAACATTGCATAAAATATTAAAAAAATATTGATAAAGATTAAATTAAAGGTGATTGTGCTTTTGTGTGTGTTACTATTTATGAAAGATAACTAGATTAAAAATAGAATATCATGGTATGAGAAAAACTAAATTCATAATACAACTATTACACTTGTAATGTTAAATATTTATGATTGGGCTCAAATGCTCATTCGCTCAAAAATTCGCATATTTTATAGTAAAATAAAACTAATCATCCAAAGAGTCATCATCCACATGCCAAAATAGTCTCATCTTCATCATCTTCATCATCATCTCTTAAATCATAATAATTTTATGCAATAGCAAGTCTCATGTATGATACTAATAAATTAAATAAGAAATATGTTAACAAAATCTTGAAAGAAAAAGGTTAGACTTGCAAAAAATGTTAAAGTCAAAAATCAATATCATTTTTTAAGTTTATAAGAAAAAGAGAACACCATTGACAAAGCTGAGATTGTCAAAGTTTTCTCCTATGCAAGTCTTCATTGTCAACCTCCAACCCAAGATCATGATGAGCTCTCATGCTAGAGTAAATCTTCATCGTCCAAGCCAATAGGGTGAATGGCTTGCATCTTATCATCGACCATTCTATTGAAGTTGAATCAAGATAAAGGTTTGTGTGCTAGACTCTACGTACCAACAAGTCTTGAAATGCTCCAATCACTACTAATTATAATTAAAAAATAATAATATATTAAACATGAATAAAAGTAATAATAATTTTGAACCCCATATCATAGAAATCATAATAACACGCTATGAGCAATATGTGCTTTGTGATATTGCTCGTACATAGTGTAAATAAAGTAAGTTATTTTGGCACTCACACTTGGCCAAAAAAATGCCGCAAAGGGTGTGCCACCCTACACCACATCATGTTATGCATTATAACATGGACTATTTTGAGCAATAACATATATGATCTCAACTTTGACAAAGTTCCTAAAAAGATTTAAACATAGTCAAGTGCTCTAATTAAGTGAAAATAGTATTCGGAGTATAAAACTCAATCGTCAATGAATAATACATTATATGGACTTCTTCTTAGCTCCAAAAGAGAGAAAAAAATAAAAAAGTTTAGGTAGTGTCATTTGAGTTTCACTTTTTATTCTAGAAAATAAGAGACTACTCATCATATTCCCTACATTTTCTCCTCAATGTTGTAGAGATTTACAAAAGCTTGTAATAATCAATGAGCCATATGTTCTTATTAATGTTTCTAGGACAGTGGAGGAGAAAGGCTTTGCAACCATAATGCTTGCAAAGCACACAATTTGTTTATGGACGCAAATCTTTCTCGAAATGCCTAGAGGAGGATGACCTGATTGGGATTATATAATAATAAAACATTTCACAAAACTGAGAGATGAGACCATTGTGAAAGGCAGAAAGACCATACACGATATTTGCAAAGAGCAAAATAACTTGTTGGATACCTTTAAGATTATGTCCCTGTTTAACTCATCTTCAAATGAGTGAAGATCAATCTTATATTAAAGTGGTATTCCTCTCATTATTTTTTTATTCTAAATAAAAAATTGGATAACTTTACCTTTTTTTTTTGTCGCACACCACCTCTTGCTACGTGCAACTAATGGATTGTCAATATCTCCTAAAGGATAGAGAAAGAAATGCTTCTTTGTTCCTAGCAATAAAAACAGGAAATTTTGCATCTAGTTTGGAAATGCAATGAATATGATATTTCTAGAGAAATCACAGACTTAAGAGGTGATAAAGTTTCAACCCTCTTGGAAAAAAGAGGGGGAGCGTTGATTTTGAAGAATCCCCAAGAACCTATTTTCATGGTCGCGATGGATGTCAAGCCATCAAAGAAGAGTGGAGATTTTAGCATCATTGCAACAATAAAAAGAGTGGTGACAAATCAACAACAAAGAGAACTATTGAGAAGCAAAGAAGAAGAAGATTGATATTCCAATTGCGCCATAGAAGAAAAGGAAGTTGGATGCTACTATAGCTCGACACTAACACTTAAATTATCACCGTGAAGATGTTTGGTGCAGCCAAGAAAAAATGAGAGGGCTCTCAAGAAGTAGAAAAGAAAGATGTAATGAAGGAAAATTATTTTATGACACTTATTGAATGAGATTGAAAATAAAACGGCTCAAAATCAGTTGGATCAAATCCATAAAATGAAAAGTGATTCTGAAGACGAAGTGGATTATGGACAAGAACCACCTGAGGTCAAGTTTCCCCAAAGGCTTAATGAAATATATAATAATTCAAAAAGTTGAGAATGATAGATCCTACATAACAAGGAAACCCCCTATGAAGTGTCCGTAAAAAGTTGAACTCCATCCCTTATTGGAAGGCTTTTAATGATCGCCTGATTGACATCATTTGTAGGCACTACAAGAATCATTTGTTGGACACAAGGCATGTGAGCCCATACATAAAGAGGAAGTACTAAAGAGCCCGAAATGAAGTTCAACAATGGATTGTTAAGATAAATAAATTCCCAGCATAGCTTGATGCTATAGTAAGAAACTTTAGAAGAAATTTGTTTAAATAGTCGGTAGCAATAAAACTCTAATAAATACCCTAAAGCACAATTAGCAGATGCTTGAAATAATAAAGGAGCAAAATGAGAGGATCACTATAGAAGAGTAATCCAAGATAGAAATCAAAAGGTTATTTCAAGTAGAAAGATATAAAATTGCCTTCTTGAAGGATAAAGTGAAGCAAAGGAAATGAAGCGCTCTGAAAACAAGCTAATGTTTTTGCCCAATCGCACAATAAGTCTCTAACTATTGAAGTTGTCTAGTAAGTTTGCAAAAAAAATCAATAGCAAGCAACAAAACTATGGAAGAGCTAATGGAGAAAAATAAGTAATTTAACAAATATTTTGATTAGAGCTTATAAATAACTAAAAGAGACTATTACACAATAAATTTTGCTAAAACTTCTTTGAAGTATTCCTTTGAATATTGCATGGTTGAGGAAGAAAAGAAAAATCCTCGGGGGAAAAGCACAAATGTAACTTGTGATAATATCATGTTTTCACACTTATGTTGTTTTTGTTCGATGATTATTATATGTTTCTTGTTGTATACTCTATGTATAGCTAAAGGATTTTGCAATCTAAATAAAATAATATAAAATCATGCACTTAAACAAAGTGCTCGATGACAGCAATATGATAGGATTCAATGCCCTCATTATCATTTATGTCTTTGTTGTTAATGATACAACTTAGAAATCTCATTGTAATAAACAATTAGTATCGTGAGCCCAAGCCATGTAGACTAAACATTGGAAGTTATTCTAGTCGATTGCTTCGGGTTAAGCATTCAACATAAGGATGTTAAAGAGGCTTACTCAAAGACTAAGACTTGATTGTTAGTTAGGAACTTTAGGATGATTGTCACGGCTAAAAGAGTGAGTCATATGCGTGAGCTAAGAAGTCTAAGTGAATCATCTAGAAGACCAAGCCTGGTCAAAGTGAATCCTCTAGAGGACCAAGCCTTGGTTATCAATTTAGAGGCCCATGTTAATCGATGGAGGGACCAAGCACAATTGTTGATTTGTATTCAAAACAAACATTATAAGGATGGGTAGGGAAAATTGAATTTGAAAGGAATTCATGAAGGATAATTGAACAATTTTGCTATCGATAACAAATAAGTCAAAATTACATCTTTCACATGGAGGAGAGTGGCAACAGAGTGCAATAAGTAAAGCAACTTGACTCAAGACAATGAGTACTTCTTAGAAGCTCAAGCGTAAAGAAAAATATATTCTCATGGTTGCTCGCTCCTATAAGAAAACCAAAGAAAAGTAAGATATGCATAAGAACCTTTTTCAAATCATGAAAGTCATAGAAGTGCATTATAAGCGAGTAGCCATTGCTTGAATGTACCTTATCAGCTACATTTGTAGTGGCCATAATTAAGGCAATGACAGAGACTTAATAAAAAAATTGTTATGAACTTCCCAATATCCACATTGCAGTAGCTTTAGTCATTGTTGTGATCCTTAGACCCAAAGTTGACATAACTCCTATTCCAGAAAATGATTTCATAGCATTCATAGATAATTTTACATGCAAACAACAAGTGATTGATTGCAAGCTACTAATGTACTGTTATCCTTCCGATGAGCAGCATAGATTGAGTTGTTGTTTCCGATGTGAACAGATCAGAATGGTGATTATATGTCATGGCAATGTCTTGACAAATTATGAACTTAATTTGCCACATACGGCGCCAAAGTTGTGAAAAATATTTTTTACCCTTTACTAAATAGAAGAAAAGTATGAAAAAAATTAAGTAGAACCGATTAAGTTTGAGAAAAGGCCAAGAAATCACTCAAGAATTGGCTTACTCCCAAAGAAATCATAAGTAATGATTTTCTTGGAAATTAAGAGAATAAAGAATGCACCACAAACAAACAATCGTATTAGTGATTTGACAATTGGCGCCTACATCCATTGTAGCGATAGCGTGATTAATGACGATTCATAAACAAATATGTTGTTATAATAGTAAAGTCAAGTAAATGAAGAAAATAATGGCTTAGGAGGAAAACTATCCCTCTATGCATCTTCATGTGGTTGGCCAAGAAGTTGGATCTTTTGCAAATCAAAGGAAGAAGAGAAAAAAAAAATCCCTATAGTGCTTGCATGGTAATATTCACCACCTATTTTCAAGGATGGCCGAGCATTAAAATAAAGATGCAATGTGGAGGGCATGGGCATGGGGAAGAAGTTGGAGATGTGCACATAAGTGGAAGCAATACTTATGAGAAGGATAACAATAAATACGATTTCCACAAAAACATAAAGGCAAATGATATAGAGGGGCAAAATTTGGCCTTTCAAAGCCAATTTCGCAAATTTTGTTATCAATAATGACTAATGGGAAAATTAAATTTTTAACCATAAAAAAGGAAAACTTGCATACCAAAGGAACCGTAAATTCACTGTTCATAACCAGGCATGACCTTCCAGAGCCAACTGCACCTTCTCCATATCCTCTAATACTACCATATCCTCCAATGGAGAACGCTTGATGAGGTGCCATATCCCCTACAATGGAAGCGCCCGTCAGGCTGTCAGACAGAAGGGTGTCAGAAATTACAGATACAATCTATAAATATAAATTAAAATTAGAAGCATAATCCTCTCCCTTACCTTGTGACAAGTAAAGCAGGTCCTACTCTAACTCCTTTGGAAGCAACAAATTTAAATCTGTTGAAAATTAACCACTTTGATAGAAGGGGCAAGCCTTGTTCTATTTGAAAATTCAACTGATGAAAAAGAGTTAGAGAAAAACTAACTTTAAAAAACAGGAAAATGCAAGAGAATATCACTTACCCTAGAAAATTTATTATCATCGGCAACAGCATATTGTGACTCCTGCTTCAATACAACCATGTTATCATGGGAAGTGCCACTACAAATGAGAGAGAAAAAATAATAAGTTTACTAATTCCATTAACTTTTAAAACTAGTTCAAAAAACTTAATTAATAAAAATCAATTTACCTGCATGTTATTGGAAAACCATCGTGATCCAGATTTATCGGTCTGCCATCATCATTAATAAGACTGACATGCTGAATCAAAAAGAAAACTTAAACCTGATATTATTCTCATAAAAGCATATTTTCAATATAAAAAAGATAAATTTACATACATACCACACAATTCTTACGTATTTACATATCTAACACCCGAAGTTCGATATTTACACTCATAACATCTTGGGGTCATAAACCTATGAATGAAAAGGTGCATTCACTTTAAAAAGGATAGTGTTAGTAGTATTTTTAATGCAATGTTAATGATTTGAGTGGTATACATGGAAATATGAATGTTTAGATGTCAGATAGGTAAATACAAGAGCATTGTGTAGTATGTTATGTAAATACCACTATAAAAAACTCCTCCAGGAAAATACACGAAAGGGTTCAATCATTTCCATAAAATGGATGCACAGACCTCAAACCTAATATTGGTTTTTGTACTCCATTTGGTACTCGGAGGCTCCGTAAGATCGACACCAGCCGAAAAACGAGAAATATTGATTCCGCCATTTCCCATTTGAGATAATATATTGACCGGCATCCCATGTACAGCAATCTCTGGAGAGATTGAGTGCTGTGAAGAAAGCATTGCATGGGTTAGAATGAGTAAAAACTGTTTGAAAACTTACCAAGCCTTTAATAAGCAATACCCAAAAGTTAAAATTTTCCATATACCAGTTTTCATAGTTCATAAACATAAATATCAACTCTGATGATGAGCTAGAAAGGTTAAATAGTTCAAAAACTTCACAATAGATGTTGAAGTGAACCAATTTCTCTAATCTCTTAGGCCCAATATGGTTTAAGGAAATTGAAAGAGATGGAAATAAGATAACGCTTGTTTAAGGAAATTAAAAATGATAAGGACTTTGAATTGTTTTTATTGAGTTGTTTCCGTAAAGAGATATTAAATGAAAATAATAGTTTTCATTTCCTTCTTACTTCCTTGATAATAAAGTGTGTTTTTGTTACTTTATGAGTAAAATTTTCTTCCAAAATTACGCAAATTTCTCTTCTAATTTTTGTTATTTGGTTGATGAGAAAGAGTGGATGTTTTAGATTCGACTTATGTTAAGAAAGGCAGAGGTAGACCTAGGAAAACTTCGGCATATTGTATAAAAAATGATCTTAATTTTTTAGAATAGAATGAAAGTATGAGACTAAATAGGACTCAATGGAGAAAAAGGATTCATATAGCTGACCGCACTTAGTGGGATAAAGGTTTTGTTGTTGTTGTTGGTTGATGAGAAAGAGTGGTTTTGTACTTCGTGAGTAAAATTCTCTTCCATTCTTCACTAGAATTGGGTATTAAGAATTTTCAAAGAAGAAATACATTTACTCATATTTCTTGATGGCTTGTTTGGGGGATCACTTTTTTTCCCCCTTTTAAAAAACATGTTTGTTTGATATACTTTTTACATATTTTTATTGTTTATTTCTAAAAACAAATTAACAACTTTTTGAAAAGAGCCAAAAATAAATTTTAGGTATTTTAAGTGTTTTTAAAAACAACTATAACTTAACTAAACAAGTTTTGTTTCAAGTCTAAACAAAAAACAAAACAAAATAAAAAACAAAAGTGATCCCAAATGGCTCCTAAGTAGCTCTCATTACTAAATTCCAAAGTAAAATACACTTGCATTCATCCAATTCCTTCTAAGCAAACAAGCACCCTAGCGCATTTTCTTTCTTGATTTCTCGTAAAAGTAGAAAGAAAGCATCGTGGAATTACAGTAACCTGAAAAATAAATGATTGCTGAGACAACCATTCAGGCCTGGGCCGTCTGATGGCAATGACAACATTAGAGTCTTGAAGGCCCTTATCCCACAACAAATCAAATTTTTCACTTCCTCCAAAAATGTCGGGATGCTTAATACTAACCCTGTCATTGTAAACCAAACCCTAATCAAACAACTTCAGCAACCCTTCCAAGTGAAAAAAAATCAAATCAAATATAATGTCACACCTGCCGACAATCTGTGAAAAAGGACCGCTAGGATTCCTGGACATCAATCGAAAACAATCTCAATCAGATTGCGAACAGAAAACGCATGTGAGAATATCAGAGAATGGAATAAGTACCTGAGTGGTGGAACTAAGAGAGCTCCGCATAGCTTGTGTGTTAGGTCCACATTGAAATCTATCTTCGCTGTTGAACGCATCGGTTCAGAATCCATGGAGGTGAGAATGAAAGTGAAGGATGGATGGGAGGTTTAAATGTTTGAATTTCAAACCTTTTCCGGCATGGATGCTTTTCTGAGCTCCCATCGGAAACTTCTCATCAGAATGGAGCTGTATTAGAGTGGTGACGATGCATTTAAAGCGAAGAAGGGATTGGGGGGAGAGATATTGAGGGAGAAATGAAGCAGTCTTCGTGTCGGAGAACAAAAGTTTGCTTCTTTGCGACTGAGGACGCCGAAGAGACGGGGAAAATGGAGAATCTCTAGCAGCCAAGGCTTCTAGGCTTAATTCAGAAGGATTTTAATTTTTATATTAATTTTTAAATTGAATATAAATTATATTTTTTATGTGTTGTAAATATAAAATTTTACATATTTGATATATAAATTAATTAGTTTGTGTGCAAATCCTCTTAATAGTAATGTTATAACATTCAACCCATAATTTTAAATAATTAATGTTCTAATATGTTTATTTGACAAAAATATTTTAAGGGATTTGATACATAGGACAAAGTTTTTGTGATATTCAGGATTCCTGCTCAAGAAGACATTATTAGTTGCTCTCGCCAAACAGTTCCGCAATTTTCTTGTGTTGGTGTAACTTTCTATGAGGTCACTCATCCTAGTAGTGCTCGATTGTGAGCACGTTTAAATGTGACTTGATATTTAAGAGTTCAGCTTCAATTACTTGAAAGATTTCACATTCTTAGATATAAAAAATACATAAAAAATGTGTGGTGAGTATGTAGATCATCCAAGATATGTTAATCAAATATACAAATCTTCACTCATTATTTATTTATCTATTTTCCAACTAATTATCTTTTCTAACTTGTTGATTATGAAGCGGTGTATATCTCTAGTTTAAATACAAGTGATGCATCATCATAAAATTTATTTGATCAATCATAAGTGTTGAATCTAGAGTCGGATGAACCTCAATTTTGGTAAGCTTGTAGTTGATGAGCGTATTTTGATGAGTTGTGTACACAACACTAAATTTAATTTAAAGAGAGCTCAATTGAGCGCAAAACAAACATTTGAAGCATTGTTGAAGACTTTATAATATTAAGTAAATGTTCTTCAACTATTGTATATTTCTATAATCATGACAAGCTTCTCAACGAAAGAGTTCAATTTGACCAAGATAACTCAATTTCAATGTTATTAAAATTCAATTTGCCCAATATAACTCAATTTTCAATGGTATTAAGGCACTTGAATGCAAATGATAATTATTCATGTTTAAGAAAATTATTAGGGCCATCAAATAGAGTTCTCAAGTTATTGACTAAAACTATTAAAATACCTCTTATAAAATTATACATAAACATTTATTCTTGGCATTAATAGAGTTTAATTTGAGAAAAGCTTATAATATGAAAAAGATTTGTCATGTATGATGATCAACTCTGACAACTACTGCCAACAATCATTGTTGTTCAATTATAATTGCTTAGTCAACATCACCCAATACCCAATCAATGATGTTTGATCATCTTCATTTGATTGTTACTATTTGATCATCACTACTCAATTGTCATTTCCTAACCTATATTACATAATCGACTATATAGGAATAGATGCAAAGCAAGAACTTATTGGAGCTCTAGCTGATTTAAGTTTGTGTTCAAACTAGTCTTGTTTGAGATTAAGCTTGTTTGAGCTTAACTCAATCCCAATTTGAATTTTATTCATAGTGGGATTACTGAACTTATTAACATGTAGCTCATTTAATAAAATTAAATAGCCTTAACCGAGCGAATTATTTGAAGAAATAAGCATTTTCATATCATGCTTGTCAAGCCTGAAAAAACACTCTCAAATGGCATTATTTATAGCCGAGCTCTAATTATCTTGCTTGAATTTTTTAAACAATTTTTCACAATTATAAATAAATGAATCAACAAACTGTTCAAGTTAATTTATTCAGCAGTTGAACCGTTACAAATTATTCAATCTTATTTATCAATAAACTCTAATTAAGCATATACACATATTTTTTTTTCAAATGTTTGGTTCATTTGTAGCTCTAACTTCCCAACCATCATTACCCAATTATCATCATATTCCTTTAATAATGTTTACTACAAATACAAGATGTTAGACAAGAATTTCAAGGGTTTTAAGAAACTTCATAAAGGAACCTACAGTGTGGTGTTGCACTGTAGTTTGTTTTGTTTGGTAAAATTACGTTTTGTCCGCTTTTCTAATAAATTAAAGTTGAAAGTTGTGTTTTATCACTGGACCTAGCTAAGTGAGGCGGCTGTTAAAAAGTTAAGGTTTGACTTTTTTTAAAAAAATATATTTATAATAGCCACCTCAGCTTTTTGAATAGCAGCTTTCTTCACAGTAGCTTCACGGATACTTCTTCGAACAGTTGCTGCAAACCCAAATGGACCCTAATTATATATTCTTTTTTTTATTCAAAGGATAAAGTGAATATATACAACATTACTTGCAAATGTATCATTTTATTTAGACCAATTTGGTGATTTTTAAAATTTTTTTGGTTTTTTAAGCAAATATTTTAGTAACTCTTGAAAACTTCTTTTATTTATGTTTGTGTTAGATCTTTATACAAAATTTTAAATTTAAACTCTTTTTAGTTTCTTAAATGTACCGATGGGTGCTAGAAAATTCGTCGGGGTAGAGTAATGGATTATTGTCTTAGCGTTGCGCAATAATTAAACACACATAGATAACAGAAAAAAAGTAAGATGAATGAGACACCTCAACTTTTTACTTAGAAACCCTTGAAAGGGAGAAAACTCACGGGGCTTGCCCAGTTGAAATAATTCACTATGAATGAAGAGTAAATAAGTCCATTCTTCTTTTAAATTAGGGAAGATGTAATTACAAAAATTGTACAAATATAACTGGCTACAATTTTTTGTGACAGCAAGTTTCAAGGGTCATTGTTGATTGTTAAGGAGGTAGTAGTCCGTCGTGACTGTTGTAGAAGGTTGCTCCATAACCATTGAGTGGCCAAGGAAACCGTAGTAAGCAGTTTACGGGAGCTATGAACCACATAGGTTGTAGTAGCGAGTATGAATCGTAGCCGTCAGGGCTGGAGTCAGGAGCTGCACCAGATGTGAACCACGTTGGCCGTAGAGGCAAATATGAATGATATCCGTAGGCTGCAAAGGCCGGAGTCGGGAGCTGCATGAGATTTTGGGTGAGTATGAATGTCGTCTATAAGCTGCGGGGGCCAGAGCGGGAGCTGCATGAGTTGTGAACCAGGTTGGGCGTAGGGAAGAGTATGAATGACGCCCGTAGGTCGTGGAGGCTGGAGTTGGGAGTTAAATGAGCTGTGAACCACGTAGTTCGCAGGGGAGAGCATGAATGGCGTCCGTAGGTCATGGAGGCTAGAGTCAGGAGCTGAATGAGTTGTGAACCACATATGTTATAGGAGCGAGCATGAATGATGTTCGTAGTCCGTGGGGGCTGAAGTCGGGAGTTGCATGAGCTGTAAACTAGGTAGGTCGTTATTGACTCATTGATCGTAGTGATGAGCTCATGTCCCATGACAATGATTAACGATGTCTAGCTAGTGGTGATCGACGATGATTGGTGATGATTGAAGGTGACAGCTAACAGTGGCTGACGGCGATCGACGGGCGGCGATGGTGCTGGAATTCAGCTCCTTCTCAGAGCTTTCAGTTCTCTCTGAAGCTTCAAGTCCCTCCCCTCATGTGAGGGGTAGAACTATATTTATAGTGTTTTATGTGTCATTAATGCATGAACATGAATCATTTTTATCGGGCGGTCCGCAATTTATTTGTGACAATGCGTCTCGGCGATGCATCATGGCGACGCGTTGCGGTAAAGAGTGATGTATCATGGTGACACATTGCTGCAAAGAGTTGTGATGAAGAATTGCGGCGCAGAGTTGAGGTGAAAAATTGCGGCGCAGAGTTGAGGTAAAAATTGCGGCGCAAAGTGGTGGCAAAGAGTTGCAAGGAAGAGCTGCGACGAAGAAGAAAGTTGTCATCGCCCTATGTAGCAGGCAAACAACGAGTTTCCTTTCTTGTTGCGAGGAAGAGGAAAGTTATCCTCGTCCGTCGTAGCAAGCCAACAACGAGATCTTCTTTCTCGTTTGTGTTGTGCATTCCACAAGAGATTTTAGTGTCGCTCTTGCACTTTTCTTCAAGCAATTTTGTTGTTTTTCTGCAGCGCTTTGAGGGGAAGATTTTCATGCTCATGTGGAGGTGATATCTGGAGACCCCCTGACGATCATCAAAAGTACTGAGAATTTTGAGAGGCGATTCCAACTCTTTTCGAAGATGAGTGGATTTGTTGTAACTCTTGTACAAGTATATGTTGATATTTGTTTCATTTTTTATCATCTAATGTGACATTTGTAGATGATGATAATATATTCCTTTATTTCTTCCACGGTTGTTGTGACTTCTTAATTGTGTAAAATTATGCAATTAAAATTAGCTCACACTTTATAAAAAATGAGAATCGCATACCTTTTGAGGCTCGTAACTTTTTGAGGATTTTCAAAGTTCGTCTTCCAATGACATGGTAGCTTCTTATTGGGTCTTGCCTTCTGGGCTTAACTTATATGGGCATGGTTGAAATGAGAATCCATTGAAGATGTAAGACCAGTTCTGAGTTGTATAACAGGAGATGCTCGACAGTATTAACCTGTAACAAAGTCATATGAAATCCACTATGGATGGTTGACCTAACTTAGGTTGTTGGTCGAAGCTTTTGCTTGATGCCCGTAACCTGTTTTGGAAGATGTCGAAGGAAATCCACTATGGATTTTTGACCTGTCTGAGGTTGTATGTCGAAGCTTTTGCTTGACGACTGTAACCTGTAATGAAAGAGGTACCTGTAATGAAAGAGGTCAAAGAGGTCGAATCAAGTCCCCCTGGGATCGATTAAGCCTAGAATGAGGTGCCAGAAATGCTCTGTGTTTCTCGAGACTAGGGGTAGATCGTAATAGCCCGTGTATTTTCTTGGAAATTTGGTTGCAATCATACTCAAGAAAAATGTTTGACAGCTTATTAGTTGTTGTTTTTGAATCTTTTTGCCCCAAGCGTCGACGCTTTCCATGTGAGCTTGTAAAACAACTTAAGTATCGGGCTTTAAAAAGATCGGCTTCTTGATATAGTTGAAAAAGAACTCTAGTGCGATGAGGGGGCATTGAGGAAGTGTTATTTGCAATGAAGATTGCCCCCAGTACATGAGCGATTCTCGTAGACTTGTAATCTGAATGAAATGTGGGATGACAACCCCACCACAGTCGTGCCAGAGATGTTGACATGAACGACCTTACGCGACTGCAATGAAGGATGCCCCCTGCCTGGAAGAAGTTGTGAAATACTTTGTGTTTGAATATGATGCGAGAAAGCAACCCCACTACAATCATGTCCTGGATATTGATGTGAACGACCTTTCAAGATTGCGGCGAAGGTTGCCCCCTACATCAAAAAATGCTTCGGTGATGATCTTAAAGATACAAAGGATAATCCTCACCAATTGGATGATATACATCATTAGGAAATGAAGTAGGAGATCAACATCTCAGAGTTGAAGACAATCTAGAACGATGCTTCATTTCCCACAGACGGCACCAAACTGATACGCGCTAAAAAATTTATGCCAGTAGAGTAATGAATTATCGTCTTAGCATTGCGCGAGAATTAAACACACACAAATAACTAAAGAGAAGTAAGCAAAAGGAGACACGTCGATTTTTTACGTGGAAAACCCTTGAAATGGCGAAAAATCATGGGGCCTAGCCCAATTGAAATAATCAACTATGAATGATGAGTAAAGAAGTCAATTCATCTTCTAAATTAGGGAAGAAGGAATTAAAAAAATTGTATAAATATATTATCGCTGTACTTTTTGGTGGCAACAAGTTGCAAATGTCATTATTGATTATTATGGATGTAGTAGTTCGTCGTGAGTGTTGTAGAATGTTGCTCCAGAACCATTGACTGACAAAGAAACCATAGTAAACTGTTACGGGAGCTATGAACCACATTGGCTGTAGTGACGAGTATGAATGACGTCCGCAAGGGCATTTACATTAATGCATGAATATGAATAATTTTAATTGGATGGTCCGAAGAGCTCCCTTATATCAGACAGCGTTTAATGGACATTTGATTGCTTTAAGGATGTCATAATTGAGTAATCTTGGGCTCGTTGAATTCGTTTTGTTGAGACGCTCAATTTGACTATGAACTCCCTTGATTCGACATCTGTCTGACCTTTCAAATATGTCTAGAAGTATTTCAAGTGTGGTTTAATGACTTGACATGAGCTTGATTTGACTCGTACTGGACTAGTTGTTATATTGTTGGGTCCATCTCATCGAGACGTTCAGTTTGACTATAAGTTTGCTGAAATCAAAGCTTTGCATGACACTCATTGAAGTTTGAATATTTTTTCCTCAAAAAAGTGTCACGAAATTCGTGTCATGCCTCGAGATTCGTGCAGGATGATGAAAATTTATTGGTGCTGTATCATGTACAAATATTCTCTCATCCTTTCTCTCGCGATTTCGTAACTATTTTTTTATGGTATTGATTAATAAACATTATATTTCTCTTGTCTAAATACAATCAATTCATAACCAAAAAATCTATTTAATCAATCACATGTATTAGTATCTGCATGTGGTAGCTGCAGCTATTTGAAGAAGTAACTTTGCAGCAGTTTTAAAAGAAATTAGTATTAAAAAACTATGTTGATCGTTACAAATTTATTTTAATTTCAAAAAGCTCAACTGCACCTTTTTGATAGTCATTGCACTTTAAAATGTCATGTTGAAAAAAACTTCTTCCCTTCACATAAATTTTTAGAAAACAATAATAAAACAAATATCTAAATAAAACTGTGATGACAGTTTGAAAAACAAAACATCTATAAAAGCTGTCACAAACAGTCCCTAAATTAATATATGAATTAAAGATTTCTGAAATGAATGAACCTTAATTTAAACAAGCTTATTGTTGATAAGCACTAAATTTAGCATGTATATAAATATTAAATTATAATATATCACTATTAACTTAAATTTTTTATGTATAAATACATAGTAATTACGTGGTATGTATATAATTTTTTTTTCTAATTTTACAAATTTAAACAAATTGGTTCTCTAGTACATGCTTCATGCTTGTTTATCTCCTCCTCGTCTTCACCTGCATCTAGCCAGAAAAAAAATATTACATCAGTGCTACGCACGTAGAGTAACGTGCGTAGTCAATAAAATTAAGCCACGACACCCCACGCGACAAAAAAAAAAACGGCGGCGTAAAACCGGGACAATTCTCATTCATGTGTTGTTGTGTATTATTCATGTGTTATTGTGTATTATTCATGTGTTATTGTGTCATGAGAATATTCCTGATATTATAATAACACAATAACACATCAGTAACACACAATAACATATGAATAACACGGGGGGAATATTCCCCCGTATTACCGCATCATTTTTTTTCTTTGTTAAGAATATTCTTCGTGTTATTCTGATTATTGTGTATTATTGTGTCCTCAGAATATTTTTAGTATTATAATAACATAATAATATTTTTATAACACATGAATAATAAGAGAAAAAATATTTAGCCATGCACCATTTTTTTCTTGTCGATTAAGATATGTAATACTTTTTTCCCCTGGCCATCGGCAATTCTTCGAGGACACCTAGCCATTCTTACGTACGATATCCGCTTCTTTCCATCCACCGCAAGGAACGAAACTTCTCATTCGACCTCCTTCGATCCCAGAAGAAGTTAATCAACAGAAACGAAGGGAAAAAGACCTCCTTGATCCTCTGCAAAAATTCCGCCTAGGGTTTCTGCCTTGAAGCGAGACAACAACCCCATACCCGTCTTAAAGAATCAAGAAATGAGAGGCAAAAGAGACAAATCAGGAGGCCTTGGCCGAGCCCTTGTTCGGATGCACAACCAGATGGTGAAACAATCGAAGGAAAAGAGCCACTCTCTTCATCTTCATCAGCGGAAGGTTCTCGAGTCCGTCACCGAAATCAGCGATATCGATGCCGTCGTTGAGCAGGCTGAGGAGGCCGCACTTCTTTACTCTGCAGACAATCCCGCACCAACTCTCTGCATCGATTTGTATGTGGGACTTTCTCTGTTTATCGTTTCAGTTTTGTCATCAAAATCTTTACTTTGTACTGTCAGGGTTTCGGGAGCGTGTAATTGATGCTTAATCTTGTGGCTTTGGGGCAGAGATGGGAGCAGAGTGACAACCGAGGAGAGGAGGCGGCTTCAGAAAGAGGCAGAAAGAGGAAGAGGCATTGTATGCTAGTAGTCTCCGAGTGCCCCGAAGGTTTTTGTATCTGTTTCTAATTTAAATTTTTTAAGGAGATTTACATACGCACCAATCAATTATTTTATATTTAGAAAACAAATGGGAATTGTGCGGTATCTTTGAAAATGTTCCATTTTTTAAACTTATTCATGTAGATGTTGATGTTTATATGTTATTATTGGGACTGCTGTGCAGGCCACCTTGGAATTCTAGGATGTCTGCGGAAGAACTTGATGTTAAAGAAAGGCAGGCTTTTTTAGTTTGGAGAAGAAGTTTGGCAAGGTTAGGGTTATTGAGCTGCAAAAATTTTAAAGTCTGTAAATTTTATTTTTCCATGTTAGGTATTTTTTCTGCATGCTGATATTTGCTTTTATATTAGTTTATGCATCCCTTGCAATGAGCTTATTGAGCATATAAAGTTGATTAAAATATTGGAATGGGAAATTGTATAATTTTTTTTGTTTTGGAAGATTTACATAGATACTATTTAATTACCATGTATTTATATATCTAACATCTAAACTTTAATTTTTACATGCCAATCATGTTTTATGTTAAGTAAAGACATTAATAATAAAAAATAAAAAAATCAAAATCAAAAGTGATCCAAACGGCCTCTTAAGGGCTTATGTAAAGAAATGCATGCCATAAGTTAACATTGATAGTGCTACACATTTGGCCTTTTGAAGGAAATAACATATTGAACCAATGCAAAGTAGTTGAAAAATTCTTGTTTTATGGCTCATGAAGGTGTTCAACGTTTAAAGTATAAGTACTCTGAGGAGGGAGGTATGTTACTTCTACTAAAAGGGTTATGTTTTATGCTCAGGGGTGCTTGGTTTGGCAAAAACTTCATTTAAAATATTTTCATGTAGAATAAATTTTGTTTTTCGGAGGGCTTAAGTGTTTTTTTTTTGGTTAGCGAACATATTTACTTATTTGAAGAATTATGACGTCCGTTGACTTCTAATTGTAGAGGAATCTTGTTTCCGTGGTATGTGAAAGGTTTTCAAAACACAATGAGTGTTTAAGATATGAAAATGGTTTACTTATTTTGAAGCATCATATAACCTTGCTATGATGAATCATGAGCTTATGTTAGCTTCAAAGCCTCTCAATAAGTTCTTTCATGAGTTTTGAAAGGGTGTGCGTGCAAATCATTGCAGATTAATATTTGTGCTCATGTATTAATGTTTTTCTTTTTGCATTGCTCCATTGCCTTATGGAATTTCTTTGCATTCTTATTTGGAAATCTTAATTAGATGTGAGATATTGTGGTGAATAAGAGACTTTTATTTTATGAGAAGTGTCAAAATAGTCCGCTGACTCTTTGCAATGATCTTTTTAGTCCCAGAGTCATAAAAATGTCAATTTAATCTTGGACTCCTTTAATATGGGGCCGAAATAGTCCCTAAGAAGCATTGTTTTAGCTCTAATTTAAAAAGTTGGGGTATTAATTTGGCACTTTTTTGGACTCTGAGATTAATACAGCCTTATGTAAATAGACAAAGGACTATTTTGACACTTTACTCCTTTAATCTTATTTGTTCTGCAAAAGGTTACATATTTATATTTGTTCTTATATATCACCGTTTTTTTTTTTTTTGAAGTATAGTTGGTTCATTGTCTCAGGGAATTTTTTTTTGTATTCTCCTTCGCCGGTTTTTACTCCATTTAATATGATTCCATTGTGGTGAATGAGTCTGATTTAATTTGGTCGCGACTATAGAATATTGCAGATTAATATTTTTGCCGTATGGATTAGCATTTTAATTTTTTTTTGTATTGTTCCATTGCTTCTTGGAATTTCTCTGCATTCTCCGCCAGTTAGTTTTAACTCAACTATTTGATCCCTTGCCTCAGGTTGCATTGAAACAAAGATGGTGCTTTTACATACCTACCATGCAATTCTTACATATTTACATATCTAACACCCGAACTTTCATGTTTAGATACATAACATTCAAATCTTTGACATCATGTAAAAAATACCACGATTCCTAACTTTTTAAAAGTGAAATACACATTTTTTTTTGCATTGATTTTTAATGCCAGTGTGTTATAAAAGTAAAGTGGTATATATCTCCCCAAAAGATTTTTGGCATTTATTCTGTTTGTGTTTGGATTAGCTATTCTGTAGTTTTCTAATGATTCTTTATGTAACAGGCTCGAGGAGAATGAGAAGCTCGTGATTACTCCATTCGAGAAGAACATAGATATATGGCGACAACTCTGGCGAGTGCTCGAACGAAGTGACCTTGTAAGCTTATTTTCGTGACCTTGTTATTCGGAACTATGAGATCATACCTGAGTTGTTTAATTTCCCTCTTTAACTATCTTTTTGAAATTTTGTTTCCCTCTGTTTCCTATGCAAGTAGCTCTGAAGCTTCATTCTTTTACTTCATTGCATGATATTTTTTGACACCAAACCATCTAATATCTTCACTTCCATTACCTGTTGTATTATATGTTTGTTTTTTTAGCATTTTCTAGTCATTGATTAGCTTTTATTGCATTTCAAATACTTGCCACTAAAAAATACTGCCATTTCAACTTTTACGGATGTGAAATACACTTTCTCATGCATAGGTATGTTAGTATGTATGTAAAAAATGAATTTTAGGTGTTAGATATGCAAATACATAGTTGTTAAGTGATATGTATCATGTTGTACCTTCTTAATTTTTTTTGGGTCTGTAGTGAGGAGAATATATTATATTTTAGGAAGTCATATATTGGGGACCCTAAGCTATGGCTAAAAAGGAAAGACAATTTTTTTAATCCAGATCCATTCATTAATCAACAGTAATAATATTTAGTTCATAATATCTAAATAAACACTCTGTAGTGGTGTTGATTATGCATATTTAAAAGAAATGAAGGTTATGATGATTATAAATCTACGTAGGCATGTCTAGAGAATATTCATTCATATTTTCAACATCTCGTTTATTATAACAACAACAACAAAGCCTTAATTCCACTAGGTGGGGTCGGCTTCCTGAATCCTTTTTCTCCATTGTGTCTTATTTAGTGTCATATTTTCATTTAGTTCTAATAAATTAAGATCATTTTTTATACAATAAGTCCAAGTCTTCCTAGGTCTACCTCTACCTTAAATTATTACTTTATCTAATGTGGAATTGTTGCATTATATTAGGAATTAATTTGGGAGATTCTAGTTAGAATTATTTGCCTTTAATGCTTTTCGAGAGAGAGCAAGATGCTATAAAGTTGGTATCCTATATTTTATATGTCATTTATTTTTCTTATGTTGTTTTAAATAGCTTTTTTGATATGATATATTTTTATCTTATTTTCATTTATATGTTTTTTTACCTATGTTGAATGTTATATTTTGTTATCCATCTAATTATAGACGCTTTTTGTGTATTATTGAGTCTGATTCTTCTTCATTTCACTTTAATGAGCAAGATAATATTTAAGATCGAAGCCAAGGATTTTTTATTGGTATTTGCTTGCTCTTGCAGCGAAATTACCAGAAGCCTCGATACATTTGGCCCATTAACTTAATCTTATACTCTTGAATTCTAGAAGCTAGCATATTAAGGATATTAATGAAAAATGAGTTAAGTGTCAAAACATTCCCCAACTATATACATGTGGTTGTTTTAGTCTTAGAGTTTATAGAAGTGCCAAAATAATCCTCAAACTCTATAAATTGTGGCTGAAACAGTCCCTGTGGAGGACCATTAGAGCTCAATTTTAAAATAGTCTGGGCCTATTTTGACACTTCTATAAACTTTGAGACTAAAATGCCCTATGGAAATAGTTGCGACTATTTGGGCACTTTACTCAATGAAGAATTTAATAAATAAGTAGTTTTAGTGAAAAATGGATTTGAAAATCAGACCAGACTGGCCAATTCAAATGGTTTGACTGTGAATCTATCGTCGGTCTTGTTCCTACTAAAAAAAATTGTCTCCTGCGTCGAATCACCCAAAAGCGTCAAGAATTGGCCGTATGACTGGCAAATCGTCGAGCATATTTGAAAATATCGACTTGTTCATTCAAGTTTTGTAAAATAGCGTCCGATTCAATTATTGAGATTTTAATTAACAATAATCAATTATCTGATTGGTTGCAAATAAGTTTATTTAGCTTAAATTATAATATTTGAATTTTAGAATTTTTAAGATTTCTATTGCGTGATATAAAAGTAAAATCAACATGCAAATTAAGACCAATGTGCCCAACAGTAAAGTGAGGTATAAGCTCCTCTTTGCTTTCTAATTTAAACTCTACAATGTTAACTCTTTTCTATGATGTGATACTAAATGAGTTATGTGAATGACTATGAGAATGAAGAATTGGGTTGGAGTAGGTATGAAAATTTTTGCTAGGTTGTGAGAATTGGGCTGTAATAATTGATAAAACATATCCTAAATTTATTTATACTTATAAATTTAAAAGCTATATTTTTATTTAAACAAATTGAATATACATATATAATTTTTATACTATTTAAAGTTATATTTAAATAGTTTTAATGTTTATTATGAACCACCTTTGAACCTTTTCTTAGTCTGGTTTGATGTCCGTCCCTCTTCCAACACTTTGGTAAAAAGACATGGAATTAACATGAATGCAACAAATGATGATGATGATGAGATTATATAACTTAGGTATTAACTTGTAAATATGTTTGAAATTTACCTGAATTTTAATCATAAGATGAACTTGCTTCTTTGTTAATTTGATTGAGTATCTGGATTTTAGATATTGATCCTCATCATGCTTTGCAGCTGGTAATGGTTGTGGATGCTCGAGATCCACTGTTCTATCGCTGTCCTGACCTTGAGGTATGCTGATTATTTTTTTATTTTTCTACTCTTTTATCCTTCTGTTATGAAAGTTCAAATATTTATAGTGAGGGGCATTTGTATTCATGCCACCCAATTTCTATGTATTTACCTATCTAATGCCTAAAGTTTACTTTATACATTTATAACACCCAAATCTTTCATACCACATCAAAATACCATCATTTTAACCCTTTAAAAGTGAAATTTACCTTTTTAAGCATGGGTAAGATGATATGTATTCAAAGATTGAAGTTTAGGTGTTGATATGCAATTGCATAAGAATTAAGTTGTATGTATGAAAATCTTCCTTATAGTAAATACATTATGAGTTTCCTGTTCTGAAGGAGCCATCTGTTCTCCCCAAACACTTCAAAAATAAAAGAACAGCTGAAATATGATTGATATGATCTTGTTAGGCACGTTAATTCAGTGTAATATAGGGAAGTTCCGATAATTCCGATAATCTGAAATTTTATGCCAACTCTTCAAATTCTTAACGGTAATCTTAAGCAGTATAATATTAAATTTATAATATCATCTACCTCTTGATAGTACATGCTAAAATGGCATATGTCTGTTCTTTATGAGTGAGATGGTTTTAACAGCTATTGTGGTTGATTTTTTTAGATAAGTATGCTATAGGTGTCAAATATTTTCGAATATTTAGGTTGCATTAGATACAACTGGGGCTGTATGAGATAACAGTTCAAAATTTACTGTGAAAAATCTTGTCTTTAAAAGCTACTGTTGCAAAAGTAGTTCTTTTGTTTAAAATTTTTTATTTTGGAAGCGTATAATTATTTATTTATTTATTATATTTCATTTCATTTAAGTGATGTGCTATAGTTGTCTGTGGATAAACGTTTGAAATACCATCCGCTCATATTATATAGAATTCATAGATTTTATATATTTTTTGTAATTCTAATATTTAATTGTGTTGTTTAAAATCTTAAAGATAAAAAAATAGATTCAAATTTAAATTGTTATAACTCGAAATCATTCTCATCATAGTGCATTAAAAAAATGATCTAGTTCTTTTTGATAATTTACAAACTTCACTTACATTACTTAAAACTCATTCATAAAATCGAGCATATAATATTGAATCTCTCATTAACTAAAGTATAAGTGATTTGCTATCGTAACTCAACTATATCATCAAAACCTTCTTCATTGCCCATGCAAGATTGACAATATCATCATCAATATCTATTATCGATTGACTCAATCAATAGTCATATGCTACAAAAGATACTAATTTATTTTCATCTTTGTAAAGTTAACATCAGAATATGATTGTTGTTGACATATGTAATTATGTAGTGTTATTTTTGCAACTACAATTTTAACATATTTTTTAAAAAGATATGTAGGCATTTCTCTTATAATAACTCACCTTTTTTTTAAACTTTAATGGTTTTCTCAATGACACAACATAATGATGAGTGACACTTATCAATCATCTTTTTTCTTCCCCGCATAATCTAGTTAGCTTTTTAGAAGCTTGAAATGTGTTGTAAGAGTACTATGACTAGATTATGCGGGGAAGAAAAAAGATCACATTTCATACCCTAAACTCTATATATATTACAACAGTTATATGTGTTGTAAGAGTCCTATGACTCATTCATATCTCACGTTCCTTGTATAACATCAACATTTACAAGGGGTAAGTAGATATTGTATTTTCTCTTTTTTTGGAACCATTTGTATGTGATGGTTATCGTGGGGGAAGGGTGTCATGCTTGGGCCCTTCCATACAATCTATATGTATCCTTATTTTCTTTTAATATATTAGCCTTTGGGCTTTCTCATAATATATATATATATATATATATATATAGAAGCTTTCTCCGTGTTCTCTGTCAATATAATTTATTGTTGTAAATTTTATAAATCCATCAGGTATTATACAGGAGTAATGAAAAATAACACTTAACACCATACCAATATTTTAATAATGCACAAAAAATTTAATATTGCATATAATCATTAAATGAGATTACGAAACATCACAACACAAATACAAACATTACAAGCAGTTTTAAAAAATATATATATCACAAGTACAAATATTACAAATAGCTCTACCAAAAAATGCATCCCAAGTGCTAACATCGCGAGTAGTTATTCTAGCAAAAAATACATCATAAGTACTAACACAAGTAGTTCTGCTACCAAAAGACACGTCATAAGTACAAACATCACAAATAATTGTTCTACCAAAAAACACAAACACATCATTAGTTGTTATACCAAAAAATGCATCATAAGTGCTAACATTACGTGGAGTTGTTCCTTAAAAAAAAAACACATCACAAGATGTAGTAGTTGTTCTACCAAAAAGTTCATCACAATTACAAACTTCTTCACTCTAAACACATAGAACTTATTTATTATTGTGATTTTCATGAAAGAAGCGCAAGTAATGGGCCATCCTCTAAGGCATCATGGGTATGAAAACCTCTTTTAATAGGATCTTTCAACAACTCATTGAGTAGAGGCATAAATGAATATATTCATAAACTTATGTTGTTTGTTCTAATATATTTATTACGTCATGGGTATGAAAACCTCTCTTAATAGGATCTTTCAACAACTCATTGAGTAGAGACATAAATGAATATATTTATAAACTTATGTTGTTTGTTCTAATATATTTATTACATCAAGAATGCGTGCTAATAGTTGCACGGTGGTAGTCATAGATGACATGTTTGTACATGTTTTAACTAATTATGATATTTGACTTCTTAGATCTGCAAGACCAGCCTTTTGTTTTAAAGTAGGTGGAGTCCTAGCATGATTTGATCCACTATGTTAATTTATATCATGTAATGATCTTTCAATAGGATCAATTGAGCTCTCTATACATTCTTGCATATTTTGAGGGGTCCAAACTTGTTCACAAATCGCTACAACATCACTAAAGATGAGGTCAAACTTCTCATTTAGCCCAAGATCGATTCCACCAAACATAAATTTTTTGGCATTGGACACAAGCTATAATTCATATAATCAAAAGTAAAAAGTTATGTCTAATAATTCTACGTAAAGAAAGAAATAAAATACAAATATTTTAAAATTTATATCTAATTTCTTCTACAATCTGCCAATGCATCTTTAAAATTGATATCTAATTTATTCTACCAATCTATCGATGCATCTTTGATATTTTTAGTTGGATCTTAATAAAGTCCAATTGATTATCTTTTGAGCTCTTTTCATATTTTTCACTTTTTTTTTTAAACCGATGTCATTTATTCTTTAATTGAGCTTTATCATATAAACTTTCGATTTTTTCTTAAAAATTCTTTGTAATATTTTGCCAATTTTCTTTGTTGAAATGTATTGTTGGTGTATTTTCTAGTTTAATATCCTTTAAACACATGTCATAAAAAATCATCTTTTTTCTTTTTTCCAAATGGTAGATGTTGTGTTGTCTCTTGTGTTGCACATTTGCAATCATCTAATAGATTGATTTGTGATTTCAAATGTTTCAATTATATGCTTGGTGCTTAAGGATAGAAAAAGCAAAAACACATAATCAATATGATTCTATTTAATGTTCTTCAAAAATTTCAAGAACAAATGGAAATGGTTGAGAAAATCTTGACTCCTTACATCAATCTAATTAAAAACTCAAGAAACAGCATGTAAAACATAAAAGATATATAAAACTTCCGAACAATATGATTTTTGAACATTAGAGAGAATAAGATGTTCAGAAATGACGAGGTAAAAAGGTGAGTTACACTTTTTCCATTCATAAGTTGTTAATAACAAAGTGCATGTAAAAAAGCAAAGTTTAGGGTTTAGATATGTAAATACATCGGATTTGGGTAGTATGTATGTCAATGCCCCAAAACATAGTTTGCAACGCATGGACTAGAAAAATTAGCACTTCAAAATCAAAATGGATGTGATCCCTCTATTTAATTCTAACAGTGTAACTATGGATATATTATCAGATTCTAATATTTTACATTCTTTCCCGAAGCAAGAGAGGATGATGCTTTTGTGTGACAAATGGTTTCAATTTAGTCTCTCAAATATACAAAATTGATCTCAATTCAGTCTCTAAGGGATCAATTAAGATCAATTTTTAATAGTCGGGGACTAAATTAAAGCACTACAAAGTACAAACACTATTTTATGATTTAACCCAACTTGTATTTGAAAGAATAGTGTGAGCAAAGGGGAAGCAAATAGATGATGATATGTTGGAGGTGTTTATTGCATATAAAAAGAAAGCAATTTAATACATGCACTTGTGCACGTGCACACATGTACACAAATGTGCATTTACATACACGTGTATGAGCCCGCTTACATCCACTTGTGTACACACACTGAAAATATTTTGGCAAAGATGTTTTCCACAGAAAATCCCATTACTATGTGTTCAATTGACTACAAGGTGTTTGACAATTATGGCAGTGCTTTGATGTGAAGGTAGAGATTTAGTATTGAGAAAAGTTTTAAAATAGGCTTCCAAATTTTTATGGTGGACCATTTTAGTCCAATTCACAACTTTTTTAATGGGGGCTAAAATAGTCCTCTTTGTGGGCTATTTCAGCTCATATTAAAAGAGTTTGGAGGCTAATTTGATATTTCAGCGCATGAGCTCCATGTTGTTGTATTTTTGGCAGTGGTTTCACAAGCTTGATTGCCAATGTGTAATTTTTTGAATCGTCTGGCTTTTTAGCTTATAAGTTTTCTATATCACTTAACTGTACTGAGAGATTTGGCCTTTTTCTTGTCACCATTTACAATTTTTTATCTCAATTGTTCTGAGATGCTCTTTTTGATTTACAGGCATATGCACAGGAAATAGATAAACACAAAAGAACCTTGCTTTTGGTGAACAAGGCGGATCTTTTACCATCTTCTGAGAGGTAAAAAATAAAAAAATATGATCCTCAATTTTATTTATTCCATTTACAATTTTTTCCTCCAAAATTCATCTCACCACAGGAAGAAATGGGCCAAGTATTTCACATCTAAGGGCATTCTCTTCCTATTCTGGTCTGCAAAATCTGCTTCTGCCACTGTCGAGGGAAAAAAGCGGGATGAAGATCAACCAGGAAAAGAATCCAGTCTTTCCGATCTAGACACTAAGATATATGGCAGAGATGAGCTCCTCGGCAGACTCCAAGCCGAAGCCAAGGCTATCGCCACTTCTCAAAAAGATTCAACCGAAAGCGGAACAAATGGCGGATCCAGCTTCTTAGATGCTGCTTCTAAACATGTTGTGGTGGGCTTTGTTGGCTACCCAAATGTCGGTAAGAGCTCCACAATCAATGCTTTGGTAGGTTTAAAGCGTACCGGAGTTACATCCACTCCTGGCAAAACGAAGCACTTCCAGACTCTGATAATTTCAGACGAGCTCATTCTGTGCGACTGTCCCGGTTTAGTTTTCCCTTCCTTCACGAGCTCCAGATATGAGATGATTGCTTCAGGTGTGTTGCCGGTTGATCGGATGACGGAGCACAGAGAAGCCGTGCAGGTTGTTGCTGACAATGTCTCGCGGGATTTACTCGAGAAAATCTACAATATCAAATTGCCGATTCCGAAGCCTTACGAACCGCAGTCCAGGCCGCCGACGGCGGCTGAGTTGTTAAGATCCTACTGCTTGTCCCGAGGTCATGTCAGCTCGAGCGGGCTGCCGGATGAGGCCAGAGCTGCTCGACAGATATTGAAAGATTTCATTGATGGGAAAATTCTTCACTTCAAGCTTCCGCCGGATGCTGCAGGTGATGAGGGTGGCGAGGGCGAGGAAGAGGAAGAGAGCGATGATGCAGAATCAGATGAAAGCGAGTCCAACGAAGAAGTGTCGCCTTCGTTGGTCGGTTCTGCCGGTTTTCAAGAGCGAAAACTGGAACACATTTTCGGTGATCTCGAGTCATTTGAATTGAGTGGTGGAGCGGTTTCGAACAAAGCAGGTGCAGTAGGAAGGAGGAAGAAGGCTCAGTCTTCAAAAGATAAGAACCATAAGAAACCACAGAGGAGGAAGGACAGGTCATGGAGGGTGGGGAATGATGGTGGAGATGGGATGCCTGTTGTTAGAGTGTTTGAGAAGCCTGCTGTGAATTGGGCAGCCATAAGAGCATCTACCTAAAGATGTTACAAATTACGTGTGAGATAGATTTAGTTATTTTATGGTCTGGATAGATTTATTTTGTTGTATAAATAACAGCTTTTCTTAATGGATAATTGTTTGTATGTTTTTTGAAGTAGCTGTGATGGATGAGCTAATAAATGTTATATCTTTAAATGCATTACATAAGTAGGAGTTTTGGCTTAAATATTGATGTTTGCATTAATTGATTTAAATAAATTGTTTGGTTTTTTTAATAGATAAAATTACAGTATTTTTTTTTTCTTCCAATTTAAGGGTTATTTGGATTTCTATTTTATTATTTTATTTGATTTGAAAATTTTTTTTTGCAGATGATATATAGTGGGACTTAAGTCATTCACTCTCATCTCTTCTTTAACAAGCTTATCTTTCCAAGTAAGTTTACTTTGTTTTTGTTTGGGTTTAGAATCATTTTGTAGAATTGAAATTATGGTTTTAAAAGTCTATTCGGACCGACCTCTTTGATAGATTCAATAATTAATCGGTTTGGTTTTAGAACCGTTTGTGCACAGAATCAGGATTGAATCGGGGTTGAATCAGAGAACTGTTGAACCGATCTGATTTTTAAAGAGCCGAACAGTTCAAATATTATTTAATTTTAACTTTCTTACTTTAATCGAATGATAAGAAATAGTATATAAAATAAAATATAATGTCTTATGTTTTTAGAATATTGTTAAAAAAATTTAAAATTGTTATCTTAAATTAAAATGTTATTTGTTGAATCGTTTAATGTTGAATGTCTGTTCTAATTTTCACCATTTTTATTAAATTTATAGAACTTCATTTTTATATCTTTTTATTTTTAGAATATTGTTAAAAAAATTTAAAATTATTATCTTAAATTAAAATGTTATTTGTTGAATCATTTAATGTTGAATGTCTGTTCTAATTTTCACCATTTTTATTAAATTTATAGAACTTCATTTTTATATCTTTTCATTAAACATGATTTATGATCTTATGACGAAATAATAGATCAGTTGCATCGGATAAGGCCTTGTTATTTCTTCGATATTTATTCGAGCAGCCAGGGGCCATTCGTTTTCTCTCTCGCCATGACCAGCACTGCAAGTCTCCATCTTACTGCCGCCACTGCGGCCATTGCCGTCGCCGGGAAATCTCAACGACGTTCACATATTTATTCGAGCAGCCAAGGGCCATTCGTTTTCTCTCTCGCCATGACAAGCACTGCAAGTCTCCATCTTACTGCCGCCAGTGCTGCCATTGCCGTCGCCGGGAAATCTCAACGACGTTCACTCATCCTCGCTTACACGAGCTCCAAAATCACGTTTTCCAATCACAAATACTCTCTCCAAGCTTTACTCCGTCCAACCCTCTCCATCTCCCCTTCTCGCCTACGCATCTTCTCTACAGCATTTTCTGAATCTCACAATGACGAAGAACCCGTTGAACCTCCGCAAGCCGATGAAGATGCCGCCGCCGAACATAAGCAGAGATCGGCAGAATCCCGGCGGCTCTACGTCGGCAACCTCTCCTTTTCGATGACTTCTTCCGAGCTCTCTGAGATTTTCAGCCAGGCCGGAAAAGTTGGCGAAGTGGAGGTAAATCTATAACTACTCCTTAAAAATCCCATCTTTTACCTAAAAATCACGATTTTCAGATGATCTACGGCCGCTCCACCAACCGGAGCCGGGGATTCGCTTTTGTAACAATGAGTACTGCTGAGGAGGCTAACGAGGCCATCCGAATGTTTGATGGAGTTGTAAGTGAATTGTATTTCCTTTCAGTCTGCAAGTTGTTTGATTGAATGCCTCAGCAAGAATGCAGCTAAGCTGTATGTTTAAACTGCACAGCTAATTGGAGGCCGGACTTTGAAGGTGAACTTCCCTGAGGTACCCAGGGGTGGTGAGCGCGAGGTGATGGGCCCAAAACTGAGAGCTAACTCTGGGGGATATGTTAACAGCCCACACAAAATTTATGCTGGTAATCTTGGGTGGAAAGTAACCTCCGAGTCTCTTAGGGATGCATTCTCAGTTTATTCTGGGCTTTTAGGCGCCAGAGTTATCTATGAACGGGATTCCGGCAGGTCTAGGGGCTTTGGCTTTGTCACTTTCGCCTCTGCTGCTGAATGCCAGGCTGCGCTGGAAGCCATGAATGGAAAGGTGGTGCCTTTGCCTTTATTGTTTGTAGAGGTGGAAGGTTCATTTTCGCAAACATCTGGCATCCAATTTGATAAAATGTTCATGTTGGGTTGTTTGTTAACCAAATGAGCTCAACTTGAATACAAATTTGGAAAATTTACATGACACCACTTAATTCCTATGTATTTATGTATCTGACACTTAAAAGTTCAATTTTTACATGAATGCTACCTTACTTATGTATGAAAAGGTGTATTTCACTTCTTAAAGGTCAAAATGGTGGTATTTTTTATGTAATATGAAAGATTTGGTCTTATAGATGTATAAAGTTTAGGTGTTAGATATCTAAATACATTGGAATTGGGTGGTATGTACGTAAATGCCCCATAAAAAATATCAACTCATTTGCTGAGCAAGCATAACACAAACATGAGAGAATATAATTATATTCAAGAAGCGCTTTATATATCATCATTAGCTTTGTCGAGTTGGTGCTAGAGCTTGGTATATCCAAATATAATTATGTCTTTATTTAAATATAAGCACATGCATTTTTTTTACTTGTGTGTGATAGCATGTAAAGACACTTTATATTCTCTAAAACTTTGGAACACATTATTTAAATTTCATGATATTGTATTATGAAAATCACAAGTATTTCATTACAGCGCAATGATATTTTGTCTAAGAAAGGCAAGCCAAAAGAGTCCGAATGTTGTCGCAAAGGTAGCGCTGTGAATTGGAAAAAAAGGATATTTAGTCCATATTGTAGGATCCAATACCATCCTTGGAAAGATACCAAGAGCATATTAGAGAATTAGATCAAGTTTGAAGAACAAGAGAGAAAAGAGAGATGAGAGAGAGAGAGAGAGAGAGAAGGGTCAGTTTCAATGATTCTTGATGACTTAATTCAAAAAGATGCGGTCGAACTCCTTTGTCAAAAAAGGGCTAGTCGAACTGAACTGCAAAGATAATTTAAAGAAAGAATTAGAAATTCAGTTGAGAATTTGATGTGATTGAGTTTCTACTCAAGATTTGAGATTGCTTGTATCCTTTTTCAACCAATGATTTTATATATAGGTGAGAGTCAAGGTCAAAATTACATAATTGGCTACATACTCATTGCTTTAAAAATACATAAATTAAAGGGGCATTTACATACATATCACCTAATTCCTATGTATGTAGTATTTAGTAGTATTTACGTATCTAATCTAACACCTCAACTTACTTTTTACATTTATACCACCCAAATATTTCGTATCACATAAGAAATGCCACTTTTGTAACTTTTAAAAAAGTGAAATACATTTTTTCATGCATATGTAAGGTGGTATATGTATATAAAATTGAAGTTTAGGTGTTAGATATGTAGATGCATGGGAATTGAGTGGTATGTATGGAAATCATTCTAAATTAAATTCTATGTAGTTGTTTTTGTAGGTAACACGTTTGATTAAGGTATTAATCACATGTAATGTCATTATAAAGGCTAAATTAGAATAGAGGAAAAGTGAATAAATGATTTTCAAATCAAACCCTAAAGCTCAAAATCGCGAGAAAACTAATTTATAAATCATAAATCCAAAGAACAAAAACTTAGCTTAACATAATTTCAAACTAAACACATGGAGAGATTGTCATTCCAAGCAAACAAACCAAGATTTTTCAATTAAAAAAAAAAGAAAAAAAAATCTAGAGTTTACAATCCAAAGGCACAAGAAATAGAAATTAGACCAAATGAACCAGGTTTCTTTATTAGGCTTTTCTCTTTGCTTTGATGAATTTCTCCCAAAGTTCTTTTCTTTGCTTCTCCTTCACTTCCTTGCACTCTCACACTCGCATGCATTCTACTCCCAAGGCTAAAACTCACTTCCTATGCCCTGTCAGACTATGGTCCATGACCCTAACTCCCAT